CCCGCACAGTTTAGCGGCCCACAATCCCCCTGTGAATGGCCTCGCCAACTTGAGCGCAATAAAGGGCCACTTGGCCATTAATGTTCATCATAATGATGAGCGACTGAGCGTTGACTCAGCCGTTTGACACAGCCCTAGCATACGCCGGGCTTGCTGAGATAGTATGCGATTTCCTGGGCCCGTTGTTGGCGTATGTACTCTTCAGTAGGAGAGTTTAAATAGAGACCATTTGAAACGAACTCTCCTCCGGCCCATTGAGGCCCAAAAGAAAAACATCATTTCATCCAGCGGGGAATTAGGGATGTGTCGTTGTGTTGGTTTTTCGCGGCGGTGCAAAGTTGTGGTTGGATAAAAAATGGTAGGGGGTGGAATTGTAAATAAATGGTAGGGGGGTGGAGCGTTTCGGGGGTAGGATAGAGGTAGAAGGTATGGGGTGGGGATGAGTAGATGATGGTGATGGAGGTGGTTAGATGATGGGGATGGGTAGCTGATGGTTAGGTTAGGTTAGGTTAGGTTAGTTTAGGTTAGGTTAGGTTAGGTTAGGTTAGGTTAGGTTAGGTTAGGTTAGGTTAGGTTAGGTTAGGTTAGGTTAGGTTAGGTTAGGTTAGGTTAGGTTAGGTATGGTGATAGTGATGGCGATGTAGATGTAGATGATGATCTAGATGGTGATTTAGTTGTTGAGGGGATGTATATGGTGATGTAGATGGTGACGTAGATGGTGATGTAAATGGTGATGTACATGGTGGTGTAGATGATAATCTAGACGGTGATGTAGTTGTTGAGGTGATGTATATGGTGATGTATATGTTGATGTAGATGGTGATGTAAATGGTGATGTAGATGATAATCTAGATGGTGATGTAGTTCTTGAGGTGATGTATATGGTGATGTAGATGGTGATGTAAATGGTGATGTAGATGGTGATGTAAATGGTGATATAGATGGTGATATAGATGGTGATGTAGATAGTGATGTAGATGATGATGTATATGGTAATGTAGATGGTGAGTCGATGGTGATGTAGATGATGATGTAGATGTAGATGGTGATGGTGATGTAGATGGTGATGGTGATGTAGATTGTGATGGCGATGTAGATGATGATGGTGATGTATATGATATTGCTGAAGACGCTGATGTTTATATTAGGTTATGATCAGTTGATAGATTATTAAGTGACGTGGATTCTCAGCTGGTCAGATCAAGTGTTGGTTTATCTAGTTTTATATTTTATGCAGGTAGTACTGATAGAATGAAAGCTGTAATACTTATAAGGGTTGGTTATATGGTTCAATACATGTTTGATGCGGGTAGTGCTGAGAGAATGAAAGCTGTTAGTGGGATATGGGTTGGTTGTTCTTCAGGTTAGGATGATGCGGGTTGTGATTAAGTTTTTGTTGGGTAGATTGAAGGGGATTTCCGTTCAGTGTTTCTTAATCAAAGAAGAATGTAGGTAGGTTGTGTTCAATAGGTTGTGTTTAAATATTTGTTTCGGTATGTCGTGTTTCGGTATGTTGTGTTTTGGTATGTCGTGTTTAGGTATGTTGTGTTTAGGTAGATTGGGTCTAGGTTATGTTTAGTTTGTGCTTAGGTACGTTGTGTCTAGGTTGTGTTTAGGTAGGTTGTGTTTAGGTAGGTTGTGTTTATGACTGCTGTAGTTATGCCGTGCGTGGCTACTTGTGTGTGGGTTTGTGGCTGTGAACATTTTGGCCATGTGGTCTAATTATTACCCACCTTGGCCAAACCAATCACCAACAGCAGGTCAATTAAAAGTTAATTAAAACTGCAGCTCTACCTCTAACGTCCCCATCTAGGGTTCAGTGTTGATCGCCCTAGGCTGAGGGTGAAACTGTGATATACTCAACTCACTTGTGTATAGAGATCTGGTCGAGAGTTTACTTGCGATATACTCAACTCACTTGTGTATCTGGTCGAGAGTTTAACTCTTGCGATATACTCAACTCACTTGTGTATAGAGATCTGGTCGAGAGTTTAACTCTTGTGATATACTCAACTCACTTGTGTATCTGGTCGAGAGTTTAACTCTTGCGATATACTCAACTCACTTGTGTATAGAGATCTGGTCGAGAGTTTAACTCCTGAAACTTGTTTTCTTGGACTTACATATAAATTTAAATTGTCCCCATAGGATTGGCTCCTGTCGTGACCTTGTTAAACCTCTCACCCACACATTCCTTGACGTGTCCCATGCCCGGGGGACAGCAGCAGCCCGTGTCGGACAGCGGTAGCGTCTGTCACCTGCCCGTCCCCAGGTTCGAGCCCAACATGGCCGTATGTCATACGGCTGTCACAGTCATATCAACATCAGCAACAAGGACATCCGTCATTGTCCTACACAGTCATATCAACATCAGCAACAAGGACATCCGTCATTGTCCTACACAGTCATATCAACATCAGCAACAAGGACATCCGTCATTGTCCTACACAGTCATATCAACATCAGCAACAAGGACATCCGTCATTGTCCTACACAGTCATATCAACATCAGCAACAAGGACATCCGTCATTGTCCTACACCCATCCACACTATGTCCTACCCCCCCCCCCCCCCACAATGTTCTGCCACCACACCCACCGTATCCTGCCCCAACTCACAGGATGTATGTCCTAGCTCTTTAATCACACCTCCCAACCCAACCATGTCTTCCCCACACACCATGTCCTGCCGCCTACCACACCATCCTGCCCCCACCCACAGGATGTATGTCCTAGCTCTTTAATCACACCTCCCAACCCAACCATGTCTTCCCCACACACCATGTCCTGCCGCCTACCACACCATCCTGCCCCCACCCACAGGATGTATGTCCTAGCTCTTTAATCACACCTCCCCACCCAACCATGTCTTCCCCACACACCATGTCCAGCCGCCTACCACACCATCCTCCCACCACCCACACTATGTCCTGCCCCCACTCATACATGTCCTCCCCCAACTCATACATGTCCTTCCCCACACACCATGTCCAGCCGCCTACCACACCATCCTCCCCCCACCCACACTATGTCCTGCCCCCACTCATACATGTCCTCCCCCAACTCATACATGTCCTTCCCCACACACCATGTCCAGCCGCCTACCACACCATCCTCCCCCCACCCACAGGATGTCCCGTGTCTTTACTGAGCCCCTCCCACCATTTCATGACTATTTAATTAACACGACGCCCTCCTCAACATGTCTTATCCCTCCCCTCACAAACACACACACATTATTAAACCTTCATTTCTACCTTTTCAGACTAATAATTCACATAGCATTCAGTCTTTACAAACAGTCACAATTTTTAAACTTTTTTTTTACAAATAGTGCACATGTTGTTATATTATTAGTTATATTATTATAGCACAAAATGAGACAATTGTTGACCTACCCTTTCTTCATTTAACAAAGTATTTCTGTTTCATGATCTACCACAACTTATATTATATTACATTTCTATTAAGACCTCACCTCTTTAATTTCGAAAATTCAAAAGAAGAAAAATCAAATGTTAAATTACATTTTATTTAACAAAACTAACAGTAAATTAAAAACACTCAAGTATTCATCTCTTTATGCCGCCCACCAAAAGAATTGGGATTTTAAACGCCTCTTCTCACTAAGGATACATTTTACACCCCCCCCCCCTTTCTCCCCCCCCCCCTTAGTTTCGACTTCCTGAAAAAAAAAGTAAGACTTCAAATCTTACTTTCTCAATAACATAAATTGTGCATTAGAGTGGTATACTCGATACAAACATTTAATCAACCCAATTGAAGAAGAATCTTGAACGTGTTCAGAAAATATGTTTTTTAGATCAACTAAATTCGGATACAGATTATTAAACATTTCTTTTAGATCAACTAAATTCGGATAGAAATTATTAAACATTTCTGTGCTCAAGTTATAAACACGTCATACTATGTTTTACTAACCGCTGAGCTTGGGGGGGGGGGGGGGGGGGGGATGAGGGGGTTACGAGCATAAACACATTGTTTAAATATGTATATTTTGTATGCTGGTTATGTTTCGTATTGGTTGTCTTCTTTTTTTAGAAGTTAGTTTTTACTTCTTCATTCTCGTTAGTAGTGTTGGAAGGTGATCGATATATTTTAATGTTTAACTCAAGGTGCATCCAGAGCAGCTGACGAACCACACAAAGGTCTAAATGGCGACATTTAAGACCCCCCCCCCCCCCCCCCCCAATTTTTCCTTTCCGAGAGGACATAAAAAATTGACAACTAAAAGGCAGGGCAAATTACAAATAGTTTTTAAAAACATGGGGAGTATATTTTTTTTTGTAAATCTTCTGGGCCATGGTTAAAGAAATGTTGTCAAAGAGACATAACTGCGTTAAACTTAAGTTTCCATTATTTTTGGGAGTAGCTTTCCCTTTACTACAGCTACAGTTTTGAATTTTATTGAACAGTTTCTGTAGTTTTTAATAGTTTATTTTTAATAGATTATCATTCATTTAAAACTCATTGCTATTCTTTTCAGTGCATGTAAATTCAAGAGTTACAAAGTTTGTTTTGTTATTAGATGGAATGTTTTGTGTTTTGAATACTTCACAATTTTGGTATTGAAACTGCTCATATTTGTACCTTGTTATTTCAACAGGGTTTTCCAGACAAGAATGTAAAAACACTTTAATAAAATAAGAAATCTTTATTACAAGGAAAAATCTTGAAAAGCTTAATTGAAAACAATGTTTTTATCACATAGGTGTAAGGGTGGCATCAGTAAGGTGTAAGGGTGGGATTAGTAAGGTGTAAGGGTGGGATTAGTAAGGTGTAAGGGTGGGATTAGTAAGGTGTAAGGGTGGGATTAGTAAGGTGTAAGGGTGGCATCAGTAAGGTGTAAGGGTGGCATCAGTAAGGTGTAAGGGTGGGATTAGTAAGGTGTAAGGGTGGGATTAGTAAGGTGTAAGGGTGGGATTAGTAAGGTGTAAGGGTGGGATTAGTAAGGTGTAAGGGTGGGATTAGTAAGGTGTAAGGGTGGGATTAGTAAGGTGTAAGGGTGGGATTAGTAAGGTGTAAGCACGGTGATGTATTGTAAGCTACTCATTCTTTTCAGACTCTTCAGCTGCTTCGATAGCTTTTTCAAATACATACATGACGTGGTTCAACCTTGTGTAGTGAACTGTGTAATCACGGATCTGTAAGGAAAACAAAACTAATTCTGTAAGCAGAAAAACAAACTTGTATAATCACGAAACTGTAAGGAAAACAAAACTAATTCTGTAAGCAGAAAAACAAACTTGTGTAATCACGAAACTGTAAGGAAAACAAAACTAATTCTGTAAGCAGAAAAACTAAACTGTGTAATCACAAATCAGAATGAAAAAAATTCTGTAGCTAAAAAAAGCTAAAATGTATCTACATAAACATTTAAAAACGTATTTCTTTTTACACATTAAGTTCAATTAGATACCACGTTTTTAAATTTAAGAACATCTTTTTAAAATGTTTCATAAATTTCTCTTTAGATAATACAAAGATAATTTATATTTACCTTGAGGTGTTTCTTGGTAGACTCCATCAGAGCAAATATTTCAGCCAATGAATCACTTTCATATGGTATGTGCATGTGGACGAAATCCATTTGATCATGAAAAACCTGGGGCATACAAGAGTGTGGTCTACACATTGTTTCAAATAGACATTTAATAAACAATGTGTCAGGAATGGTGTGGCCTAGTTATAGAGTGCTAGGCTGCTACCCCAAAAGCCTTTAGTTCAAATCCAGGTTTAAGTAAGTAAAATGTCCTTGAGTTCACCCAACTCTGATAGGTAACTAACGTTAGTGAAAGTAAAGATGGCTGGGCAAAGTGCTGACTATACTATCTTTTCATCACAAAAACAGGTGAACTGTACTTCACTTGCCCCATGGACCGTCATGTTTGTAAAGAGAGCATCAAACAAAGTATCAAGACAAGTTCTTTGTCTCATATTGTAACAACCAAATCAGGTGGTATACAACAGATAGGACCTTCATCCTATGTTGACAAAGCTATAAACAATTGTTTACTAAAGCCTGTTATTCCTACTATGTCCAGTGTATTAGTTCATCACAAGACTGCATCTTAGATGTTTTGACTGATTTTACTATGATTCCAGTGTTTCAGACACCGACCTTCAATTATTTTCTACTAAAAAAAAAACACCTCACATTCACTTTTAATGTTGCTGCTTTCTCTGCTCCCAATACAGTACTAGATGATGAAACCACCTCTTTACTACAGAATTGCCAGGAATGGACAATTACATACAATAGTCATTAAGTTTTACATAAGTTTTTGCTAACCACCCCATTTGGAAATCTTTGTATACAACTCACCAACCCATTTGGGAACCACCTTTGTGTACAACTCACCACAGCATTTGGGAACCTCTGTGTACAACTAACCACCCCATTTGGGAACCTTTGTGTACAACTCACCACAGCATTTGGGAACCTGTGTACAACTAACCACCCCATTTGGGAACCTTTGTGTACAACTCAAAACAGCATTTGGGAACCTCTGTGTACAACTAACCACAGCATTTGGGAACCTGTGTACAACTAACCACCCCATTTGGGAACCTTTGTGTACAACTCAAAACAGCATTTGGGAACCTCTGTGTACAACTAACCACAGCATTTGGGAACCTGTGTACAACTAACCACCCCATTTGGGAACCTTTGTGTACAACTCACCACAGCATTTGGGAACCTCTGTGTACAACTAACCACCCCATTTGGGAACCACCTTTGTGTACAACTCACCACAGCATTTGGGAACCTCTGTGTACAACTAACCACAGCATTTGGGAACCTGTGTACAACTCACCACAGCATTTGGGAACCTGTGTACAACTCACCACAGCATTTGGGAACCTCTGTGTACAACTAACCACCCCATTTGGGGACCACCTCTGTGTACAACTCACCACAGCATTTGGGAACCTCTGCTTGAGTGAGTTGATGAGGATCGCGTTGGAGACCTTGAAGTTGAGTGAGTCAATCTTGGCCAGCAGGGTGTAGCTGTTGGTGTAGCTCCTCTGGATCTCCTTGGGTGGGGCCAGACACACCAGCTTCCCGTGGACAAACAGGGCGATCCGTGTGGCAAGGGCTGCACTCTCCTCCATGCTGTACAGAGTTCCAGACATTTTGCTCAGTACATGCAGCCAGCTATTTCATAGCAGCCAACACTTAGCTGACTTTCTTCACATTCATCTAAACATATACTACAGGACAGACATTTTGCTCAGTAGGCCCTACATCCAGCTATTTCATAGCAGCCAACACTTAGCTGACTTTCCTCACATTTACCTAAACATATACAACAGGACAGACATTTTGCTCAGTAGGCCCTACATCCAGCTATTTCATAGCAGCCAACACTTAGCTGACTTTCTTCACATTCATCTAAACATATACTACAGGACAGACATTTTGCTCAGTAGGCCCTACATCCAGCTATTTCATAGCAGCCAACACTTAGCTGACTTTCCTCACATTTACCTAAACATATACTACAGGACAGACATGCCCTGCAGTAGAGCACACCATGGCTAACCTAAATGTCTAAGCTCAGTTTCTGGGACCTATAAGATATCAATGATTCCACTTAACACCAGTTAAAGAAAATAATCATGATCGATCATAGAACTTGCAACAATATCTCTTCCAATGATAAGGTCGCAAAAACAGACGAACACTATTACATATGATAATCAAGTAAATCAAAAATATTCTATGCTAATATATTAAATACTGCATGTTTAAAAAGAAACTTTAAAAACTCATTACAGTAAGAACTGATGCATAATAATTCTGCATAACATTTTACATGTTGACCTTTATGAGGACTGAATGATGAATGCTGCATAAAGGCTGTTGGACAATGAATGATGAATGCTGCATAAAGGCTGTTGGACAATGAATGATGAATGCTGCATAAAGGCTGTTGGACAATGAATGATGAATGCTGCATAAAGGCTGTTGGACAATGAATGATGAATGCTGCATAAAGGCTGTTGGACAATGAATGATGAATGCTGCATAAAGGCTGTTGGACAATGAATGATGAATGCTGCATAAAGGCTGTTGGACAATGAATGATTACTGTTGTATGATGGATGAGTGATTAGACACCAACACAACACAAATAAAATACAACACGAATGAGAAACTGAGTATCAAGATAAATAAATTACTTGTAGTAAACACAGATTAGACAATTAAATAACTCACATACACACATTAGACAACTAAGATAACTGACTCACACACACACATGAGACAACTAAGATAGGTGACACACACACACACACACATGACACAACTAAGATAACTGACACACACACACACACACATGAGACAACTAAGATAGGTGACACACACACACACACATGACACAACTAAGATAACTGACACACACACACACACACATTTATGAGACAACTAAGATAGGTGACACACACACACACACATGACACAACTAAGATAACTGACACACACACACACACACATATATGAGACAACTAAGATAGGTGACACACACACACACACATGACACAACTAAGATAACTGACACACACACACACACACACATATATGAGACAACTAAGATAGGTGACACACACACACACACATGACACAACTAAGATAACTGACACACACACACACACATATATGAGACAACTAAGATAACTGACTCACTTGCTAGATGTAACAACAACAGTTGTGTTCATGGCCTTTAAAGCTGCCAGCAAGTTTTTGACCAGATTTAGCCCAAAAGTGTCCTTCAAGATTCTGGAATTGTCCACCAGCAGAATGTGCGGGCTGCCAATCAGGGCTGCTGCCAGATTCAGACGCTCAAGTTTACTTTCACTTCAAGGGTTGAAAAAATTAAACTTCACATTGAAGAATTACCAAAATCTCTGTCATGTTATCAAGAACACACTGACTATATATAATACAGATGCCACGTTTAAAATACACTCATCTAGTTAAACTGAGCTTATATTTTTAAAATATTTTATTTATTTTATTGTAAAACCTTGGCCTAAGTCTTTTGATCTGCATCTGATTATAACCAATTTTCTGACTCAAACAGCTACTTATGTAAAGTAAAAATACTTAACGTCATACTCTATAATCCTACTAACAATTTTATTTAAAAAACATATCTGTTTACACTATAAGATGATGTGCAAAGTGACTCAAATTACCTGTAAGTTTTGGCAGGCAGATGGGCAATGTCATTTAGGTGGAATATACTGATCAACTGGTGTACCAGGGGGGTGATGTTTTCTTTCCTGACCCCCTCAATGGAGGCGAAGAAGTAAAGCAGCTCATACGCGGTCATGTGGGACAGGCAGACTGAGCTTTGGGGGCAGTAGCCGATACTACGGAAAGGCTGAAACAATCATAAACAATCCCAGCGATTTACTTTCTCAATCAAAAGGCTGAAACAATCATAAACAATCCCAGCGATTTACTTTCTCAATCAAAAGGCTGAAACAATCATAAACAATCCCAGCGATTTACTTTCTCAATCACTAGAATGTATTATCCCTGATAAACTTCCTTGATGGCTGAAATATTGACTGAATCATTAATAAACATTTATCAACAATAAGCTTACTTAATAATAATAATATCATTGATGAAATGTATAATATCAATAGTTTACAAAAACTTCAGTCCACAGTATAATTAGTGAGAAGTATAATCAGTATAATTAGTGAGAAGTATAATTAGTATAATTAGTGAGAAGTATAATCAGTCTATAGGAAATCATGTTACATTGGATACATTACAATTAATTAATTAACTATTAATTCAGCTGTCTATTTAACTACAATCAGTTAATTCAACCCAGCTTTGTTAGTTCAACATAATTTTTTCAATTTTTTTTACAACTACCTCATAAGAAAATATGTTTGTTCCTTACACTTACCTCATAAGAAAAAATGTTTGTCTCTTACACTTACCTCATAAGAAAATATGTTTGTTCCTTACACTTACCTCATAAGAAAATATGTTTGTTCCTTACACTTACCTCATAAGAAAATAATTTGTTCCTTACACTTACCTCATAAGAAAATAATTTGTTCCTTACACTTACCTCATAAGATAAAATGTTTGTTCCTTACACTTACCTCATAAGAAAATATGTTTATTCCTTACACTTACCTCATAAGAAAAAATGTTTGTCTCTTACACTTACCTCATAAGAAAATATATCAATACTTTCTATCCCTTACACTTACCTCATAAGAAAATATATTTGCCCCTTACCTCATAAGAAAATTTATTTGTCCTTTACATTTACCTTATATGAAAATATATTTGCCCCTTACCTCATAAGAAAATATATCAATACTTTCTCCTTTCCTAAAGATGTGTCCATTCTTGATGGCGTGAGTTCCAGCAAACGTGCCCAGCAGAGAAGACGACATGGAGCAGTCGGAGCTGACGATGTAGAAGATGTCCCCCTCATCCACACCCAGAGAGATGTTCTGAACCTTGGTGCCATTTTTCTCAGGCAGGCACAGCTGGAAGCATGCCATAGCTGGTGCTGCTGTAAAGGTTGTTCTTTTTAGTGAGATTAGGCAAGAAGATAAGCGATGGCTGCCATTGGTTGATGCAAATGGTACAATGGCTGCCATTGGTTGATACAAATACTGACCCATACAACACACTGACCTAAACAACACACTGACCTAAACAACACACTGACCTATACAACACACTAACCTATACAACACACTGACCTATAAAACACACTGTGCAAATGGTACAATGGCTGCCATTGGTTGATGCAAATGGTACAATGGCTGCCATTGGATGATGCAAATGGTACAAAAATATCAAAGCTGAATTTTGTCACAAAATTATCAAAGCTGAATTTTTTCATAAACTTATCACAGCATATTAGTCATAAAATTATCAGAGGCTATTTTCATCACAAAATTATTACAGCATATTAGTAGCAAAATTATCACAGCATATTTTTGTCACAAAATTTATACCTCAATATTTATGTCACAAAGTTGTCATACTTACGCCTTTTAATAGCAGCATATTCATTGCTTGGAGAAGCCCATTTGACACAAATAGTGGATTTACTGGAGGCAAAAATGTCGGAATCTTCACTCAAATTTAGAAAAACAGAATGCCGCAGGTCCCAGTTGATGTTAGACTGTGCTGGTTCCTCCGCAGGAAAATATTTTCGTAAACGGAACCTGTAGGGTGGGAGTAAAGCCCAACCAGTGAGTCAAAATAAAATAAAAGTATATCAAATCTGAATGGCTTTTTTCAACTCAAATCATAATTTGGTTTGTCTTTTGTTTTACCTGGGTGAAAACCATCTCACCCCCCCCCCCCCCCTCCAATCACAACTGATTCTCTCCTTCTTTACACTGGAATGATAAGGGCCAACGAACAAGATTTGTAGATAGGTAAACCCCACGTCTTACATTATTCGAGACAGCAATCTAATGTCCTTACATTATGACAGGCAGCCATATATAGTCCTTACATTATGCAAGACAGCCCTCTACAGTTCATACATTTTTTGAGACAACCATCCTTAAATTATGCAAGACAGCCATACTTAAATTATGTGAGACAGCCATACTTAAATTATGTGAGACAGCCATCCTTACATTATGCGAGACAGCCGTCCTTAATTATGCGAGACAGCCATCCTTACATTATGCGAGACAGCCATCCTTACATTATGCGAGACAGCCATCCTTACATTATGCGAGACAGCCATCCTTACATTATGTGAGACAGCCATCCTTACATTATGCGAGACAGCCATCCTTACATTATGTGAGACAGCCATCCTTACATTATGTGAGACAGCCATCCTTACATAATGTGAGACAGCCATCCTTATATTATGCGAGACAGCCATCCTTACATTATGCGAGACAGCCATCCTTACATAATGCGAGACAGCCATCCTTATATTATGCGAGACAGCCATCCTTACATTATGCGAGACAGTCATCCTTACATTATGCGAGACAGCCATCCTTACATTATGCGAGACAGCCATCCTTACATTATGCGAGACGGCCATCCTTACATTATGCGAGACAGCCATCCTTACATTATGTGAGACAGCCATTCTTACATTATGCGAGACAGCCATCCTTACATTATGCGAGAGTGCCATCCTTACATTATGTGAGACAGCCATCCTTACATTATGTGAGACAGCCATCCTTACATTATGCGAGACGGCCATCCTTACATTATGCGAGACAGCCATCCTTACATTATGCGAGACGGCCATCCTTACATTATGCAAGACAGTCATCCTTACATTATGCGAGACGGCCATCTGTATTCTTTGGCCATGAGCACCAGGAACCAGAAACAGCTGTGAGCTATCATGGCGATGATGTGCATGCCCACACCAGGGCGCCACAGGGACAGGAAATGCCGCTTGACAAACATGTTGCAGTTGAAATATCCAGGACAAGATTCTGGAGGTCAAAGATGGATTCATGTTGTAGTTGTTTTTTTCTTTATGTGTGTTTGTCTCACTGCTAAGTATATAAGTTTTTTTTAACTTAAATATATTTGTCAAACAAAAGTTAAATTTGTGGGTTGTAAAAATATTTGCGGTTTTACAAGTATTCATATATTTATATTAATTTATTAAAACATCAATTTCTATCCCCCCCCCCACCCAACAAGACAGTCTAATTAGACAAAATATCTCCCTCCCTACCCCCCCCCCCTACCACACACACATAACCTATTTTAATAAGACAATTCTCTATCTGATAATAAAAGCTATCATCTGATCACAGTTTTAATTATAAACATTAAAACCCAATGGATATCTTTGTTTATCCTCTGGTTACCATGCCAACAGTGCCATAACAACCCCGAGTCTTACCAGTGCAGCACACGTCCTTGTAGTTGACTTTATATGAGGAGCCACAATAATTGTGTACAGCAGAGCAGAACTTATCTCCCCTGAAAGTGGTACACAAATGGCATTTCCTATAGCTCTAGTCAACACACTGACCTATACAATACACTGACCTATACAACACACTGACGTATACAACACACTGACCTATAATTCTAGTCAACACACTGACCTATACAACACACTGACCTATAACTCTAGTCAACACACTGACCTATACAACACACTTGACTTACAACTCTTGTCAACACACTGACGTATACAACACACCGACATATACAAGACACTAACCTATACAAGACACTGACCTATACAACACACTGACCTATACAACACAATGACCTATACAACACACTGACCTATACAACACACTGACCTATACAACACACTAACCTATACAACACACTGACCTATACAACACACTAACCTATACAACACACTGACCTACAACTCTTGTCAACACACTGATCTATGCAACACAGTAAACCAATAATTCATGTCAACACACTGACCTATAATTCTAGCCAACAGACTTACCTATACAACACACTGACTTATACAACACACTGACCTATACAACACATTAAACCAATAATTCTAGTCAACACACTGACCTATAATTCTGAATAGCATTGCAGACAGCATTAGGCAGGACTGCACTAGGTGTTATCAAAAGAAAAAACAAGGAGAACTCATTAGCACACAAAGACTCAGTCTCTAGGGAGTTGGCTGTGTACAGGGCACTGAGAGAGTAGATCTCTGCTGCAAGACACAAGCATTTCATGTTGTAGAATTATACTTGGGATATAGCTGTTAGTCAGGATTGTTGTGTGGGACTTACTGTTATATAGCTGCAGTCAGGATTGTTGGTTTAGACTCACATGTCAGATAGCTACATGTCAGGATTGTTGGTTTAGACTCACATGTCAGATAGCTACATGTCAGGATTGTTGGTTTAGACTCACATGTCAGATAGCTACATGTCAGGATTGTTGGTTTAGACTCACATGTCAGATAGCTACATGTCAGGATTGTTGGTTTAGACTCACATGTCAGATAGCTACATGTCAGGATTGTTGGTTTAGATTCATATATCAGATAGCTACATGTCAGGATTGTTGGTTTAGACTCACATGTCAGATAGCTACATGTCAGGATTGTTGGTTTAGACTCACATTTCAGATAGCTACATGTCATGTCAGGATTGTTGGTTTAGACTCACATGTCAGATAGCTACATGTCATGTCAGGATTGTTGGTTTAGACTCACATGTCAGATAGCTACATGTCAGGATTGCTGGTTTAGACTCACATGTCAGATAGCTACATGTCAGGATTGTTGGTTTAGACTCACATGTCAGATAGCTACATGTCAGGATTGTTGGTTTAGACTCACATGTCAGATAGCTACATGTCAGGATTGTTGGTTTAGACTCACATGTCAGATAGCTACATGTCAGGATTGTTGGTTTAGACTCACATGTCAGATAGCTACATGTCAGGATTGTTAGTTTAGACTCACATGTCAGATAGCTACATGTCATGTCAGGATTGTTGGTTTAGACTCACATGTCAGATAGCTACATGTCAGGATTGTTGGTTTAGACTCACATGTCAGATAGCTACATGTCAGGATTGTTGGTTTAGACTCACATGTCAGATAGCTACATGTCAGGATTGTTGGTTTAGACTCACATGTCAGATAGCTACATGTCAGGATTGTTGGTTTAGACTCACATGTCAGATAGCTACATGTCAGGATTGTTGGTTTAGACTCACATGTCAGATAGCTACATGTCAGGATTTTTGGTTTAGACTCACATGTCAGATAGCTACATGTCAGGATTGTTGGTTTAGACTCACATGTCAGATAGCTACATGTCAGGATTGTTGTAGCTGCCATGATTGGAGAGTTGAACAAAAACTGCATCACGTAGATGAATGGCAACATCATGAGGCCACTACACAGTACCAGGATGTAAAGAAGGCCTGAAAAATAAGTACATGCGATGTAAATATGACATGTAAAGCACTAAGTTGTAAATATGAAATAGAAAAACAGATGTAAATATGAAATGGAAAAACACAAAGATGTAAATATGACACGTAAAGCACAAAGATGTAAATATGACACGTAAAGCACAAAGTTGTAAATATGAAATAGAAAAACAGATGTAAATATGAAATGGAAAAACACAAAGATGTAAATATGACACGTAAAGCACAAAGATGTAAATATGACACGTAAAGCACAAATATGTAAATATGAAATAGAAAAACAGATGTAAATATGAAATGGAAAAACACAAAGATGTAAATATGACACGTAAAGCACAAAGATGTAAATATGACATGTAAAGCACAAAGATGTAAATATGACATGTAAAGCACAAAGATGTAAATATGACATGTAAAGCACAAAGATGTAAATATGACATGTAAAGCACAAAGATGTAAATATGACATGTAAAGCACAAAGATGTAAATATGACATGTAAAGCACAAATATGTAAATATGACATGTAAAGCACAAATATGTAAATATGACATGTAAAGCACAAAGTTATAAATATGACATGAGAAGAAAATATTCTATGTAAACAAACTTTGAAAATACAAAGATATTTCCAGTACACCATAACAAATAAACCGGGAGTGATCTCCCCTAAACTTTCTCGAATATTCTAATATAAAACAACAGGGGATGGGAACTCGGGCTATAGACATGATTTTTAATCCATTTTCAATACTTAAAGTTTGAAAAATAGAATAAAATCTCGTAGACAAAAGAATTGCACACCAAGTGAACGCCAAATAAAAAAGTGCATAATAGTGCGCACTATTATTAGTACTTTAAAAATTTACATTAGTTTTTTGAGAAATCGGAAGTAGCGTAAATTACTACTTCCGGTCAATGGAAATTACTCAAAATTTAACAGAAGGTAGAGTATTAGATCTTTTACTTACATGTGAAATTTCATTTATCTATCTAAAATAGTACTCAAGTTATAGTCTTTTGAAAAATTCAAAGTAGAAAAAGTACCAATTCCGGTTATCGGAAATCGCTCAAAAGTTGATACGGATCTACGATTTTGATAAAATACTTATATATGAAATTTCATCAACCTAGCTGTAACGGTACTCAAGTTATCGTGTTTACACACACACACAGACACACACACAGACATACGGACAGAATTGCAAAGCCCAGTTTTTCAGACTGGATTACGCATAAAACCTCTTAATTTTGATAAATCTGGATTGATAATTTTTGCCCGATTAAAATATGTCCTCTATACTTCGGATGTGATGAAGTACTGAGGTGTAATACGGTGAAAATTGTTAAAATTTCAAGTGATTTTTGTGCACGATTACAATACTTTCTCTATACTTCATATATACGAGAAAGTAAAAAACAAAACAAAATGCTTTAGTATAAAAGAACAGACATTAAAAACTACAAAAATGCCAGAAAAATGGATACCTGTTGAATTTTCCATGACTTCAGATTTCATAAAGAGTACAACAGAACCATAAACATTGTAGAAGAAAATGTAGTTGAGGTAATCGTAGAAGAAATGGGTGAACCAGTACAAAGCTGGGCTTACCCCCCTTATCAGCTCCTGGTGTTTTAATCCTTTCTGAAATATACAATCTCTAACTGAACTAACACTACTCAGAGACAGAAACAATCCTTTCTGAAATATACAATCTCTAACTGAACTAATACTACTCAGAGACAGATGCAATCCTTTCTGAAATATACAATCTCTAACTGAACTAACACTACTCAGAGACAGATGCAATCCTTTCTGAAATATACAATCTCTAACTGAACTAACACTACTCAGAGACAGATGCAATCCTTTCTGAAATATACAATCTCTAACTGAACTAACACTACTCAGAGACATGTGCAATCCTTTCTGAAATATACAATCTCTAACTGAACTAACACTACTCAGAGACAGATGCAATCCTTTCTGAAATATACAATCTCTAACTGAACTAACACTACTCAGAGACAGATGCAATCCTTTCTGAAATATACAATCTCTAACTGAACTAACACTACTCAGAGACAGATGCAATTCTTTCTGAAATATACAATCTCTAATTGAACTAACACTACTCAGAGACAGATGCAATTCTTTCTGAAATATACAATCTCTAATTGAACTAACACTACTCAGAGACAGATGCAATTCTTTCTGAAATATACAATCTCTAATTGAACTAACACTACTCAGAGACAGATGCAATTCTTTCTGAAATATACAATCTCTAATTGAACTAACACTACTCAGAGACAGATGCAATTCTTTCTGAAATATAAAATCTCTAATTGAACTAACACTACTCAGAGACAGATGCAATTCTTTCTGAAATATACAATCTCTAATTGAACTAACACTACTCAGAGACAGATGCAATTCTTTCTGAAATATACAATCTCTAATTGAACTAACACTACTCAGAGACAGATGCAATCCTTTCTGAAATATACAATCTCTAACTGAACTAACACTACTCAGAGACAGAAACAATCCTTTCTGAAATATACAATCTCTAACTGAACTAATACTACTCAGAGACAGATGCAATCCTTTCTGAAATATACAATCTCTAACTGAACTAACATTACTCAGAGACAGATGCAATCCTTTCTGAAATATACAATCTCTAACTGAACTAACACTACTCAGAGACAGATGCAATTCTTTCTGAAATATACAATCTCTAATTGAACTAACACTACTCAGAGACAGATGCAATTCTTTCTAAAATATACAATCTCTAATTGAACTAACACTACTCAGAGACAGATGCAATTCTTTCTGAAATATACAATCTCTAATTGAACTAACACTACTCAGAGACAGATGCAATTCTTTCTGAAATATAAAATCTCTAATTGAACTAACACTACTCAGAGACAGATGCAATTCTTTCTGAAATATACAATCTCTAATTGAACTAACACTACTCAGAGACAGATGCAATTCTTTCTGAAATATACAATCTCTAATTGAACTAACACTACTCAGAGACAGATGCAATCCTTTCTGAAATATAAAATCTCTAATTGAACTAACACTACTCAGAGACAGATGCAATTCTTTCTGAAATATACAATCTCTAATTGAACTAACACTACTCAGAGACAGATGCAATTCTTTCTGAAATATACAATCTCTAATTGAACTAACACTACTCAGAGACAGATGCAATTCTTTCTGAAATATAAAATCTCTAATTGAACTAACACTACTCAGAGACAGATGCAATCCTTTTTGAAATATACAATCTCTAACTGAACTAACACTACTCAGAGACAGATGCAATCCTTTCTGAAATATACAATCTTTAACTGAACTAATACTACTCAGAGACAGATGCAATCCTTTCTGAAATATACAATCTCTAATTGAACTAACACTACTCAGAGACAGATGCAATCCTTTCTGAAATATACAATCTCTAACTGAACTAACACTACTCAGAGACAGATGCAATCCTTTCTGAAATATACAATCTCTAACTGAACTAACACTACTCAGAGACAGATGCAATCCTTTCTGAAATATACAATCTCTAACTGAACTAACACTACTCAGAGACAGATGCAATCCTTTCTGAAATATACAATCTCTAACTGAACTAATACTACTCAGAGACATGTGCAATCCTTTCTGAAATATACAATCTCTAACTGAACTAACACTACTCAGAGACAGATGCAATTCTTTCTGAAATATACAATCTCTAACTGAACTAACACTACTCAGAGACAGATGCAATCCTTTCTGAAATATACAATCTCTAACTGAACTAATACTACTCAGAGACAGATGCAATTCTTTCTGAAATATACAATCTCTAATTGAACTAAGACTACTCAGAGACAGATGCAATCCTTTCTGAAATATAAAATCTCTAATTGAACTAACACTACTCAGAGACAGATGCAATCCTTTCTGAAATATACAATCTCTAACTGAACTAACACTACTCAGAGACAGATGCAATCCTTTCTGAAATATACAATCTCTAATTGAACTAACACTACTCAGAGACAGATGCAATCCTTTCTGAAATATAAAATCTCTAATTGAACTAACACTACTCAGAGACAGATGCAATCCTTTCTGAAATATACAATCTCTAACTGAACTAACACTACTCAGAGACAGATGCAATCCTTTCTGAAATATAAAATCTCTAATTGAACTAACACTACTCAGAGACAGAAACAATCCTTTCTGAAATATACAATCTCTAACTGAACTAACACTACTCAGAGACAGATGCAATCCTTTCTGAAATATAAAATCTCTAATTGAACTAACACTACTCAGAGACAGATGCAATCCTTTCTGAAATATACAATCTCTAACTGAACTAACACTACTCAGAGACAGATGCAATTCTTTCTGAAATATACAATCTCTAACTGAACTAATACTACTCAGAGACAGATGCAATCCTTTCTGAAATATACAATCTCTAACTGAACTAACACTACTCAGAGACAGATGCAATCCTTTCTGAAATATACAATCTCTAACTGAACTAACACTACTCAGAGACAGATGCAATCCTTTCTGAAATATACAATCTCTAATTGAACTAAAACTACTCAGAGACAGATGCAATCCTTTCTGAAATATACAATCTCTAATTGAACTAACACTACTCAGAGACAGATGCAATCCTTTCTGAAATATAAAATCTCTAATTGAATTAACACTACTCAGAGACAGAAACAATCCTTTCTGAAATATACAATCTCTAACTGAACTAATACTACTCAGAGACAGATGCAATCCTTTCTGAAATATACAATCTCTAATTGAACTAACACTACTCAGAGACAGAAACAATCCTTTCTGAAATATACAATCTCTAACTGAACTAATACTACTCAGAGACAGATGCAATTCTTTCTGAAATATACAATCTCTAACTGAACTAACACTACTCAGAGACAGATGCAATCCTTTCTGAAATATAAAATCTCTAATTGAACTAACACTACTCAGAGACAGATGCAATCCTTTCTGAAATATACAATCTCTAACTGAACTAACACTACTCAGAGACAGATGCAATCCTTTCTGAAATATACAATCTCTAACTGAACTAACACTACTCAGAGACAGATGCAATCCTTTCTGAAATATAAAATCTCTAATTGAACTAACACTACTCAGAGACAGATGCAATCCTTTCTGAAATATACAATCTCTAACTGAACTAACACTACTCAGAGACAGATGCAATCCTTTCTGAAATATAAAATCTCTAATTGAACTAACTCTACTCAGAGACAGATGCAATCCTTTCTGAAATATACAATCTCTAACTGAACTAACACTACTCAGAGACAGATGCAATTCTTTCTGAAATATACAATCTCTAACTGAACTAATACTACTCAGAGACATGTGCAATCCTTTCTGAAATATACAATCTCTAACTGAACTAACACTACTCAGAGACCGATGCAATCCTTTTTGAAATATACAATCTCTAACTGAACTAACACTACTCAGAGACAGATGCAATCCTTTCTGAAATATACAATCTCTAACTGAACTAATACTACTCAGAGACATGTGCAATCCTTTCTGAAATATACAATCTCTAATTGAACTAATACTACTCAGAGACAGATGCAATTCTTTCTGAAATATACAATCTCTAATTGAACTAACACTACTCAGAGACAGATGCAATCCTTTCTGAAATATAAAATCTCTAATTGAACTAACACTACTCAGAGACAGATGCAATCCTTTCTGAAATATACAATCTCTAACTGAACTAACACTACTCAGAGACAGATGCAATCCTTTCTGAAATATAAAATCTCTAATTGAACTAACACTACTCAGAGACAGAAAGAATCCTTTCTGAAATATACAATCTCTAACTGAACTAACACTACTCAGAGACAGATGCAATCCTTTCTGAAATATAAAATCTCTAATTGAACTAACACTACTCAGAGACAGATGCAATCCTTTCTGAAATATACAATCTCTAACTGAACTAACACTACTCAGAGACAGATGCAATTCTTTCTGAAATATACAATCTCTAACTGAACTAATACTACTCAGAGACATGTGCAATCCTTTCTGAAATATACAATCTCTAACTGAACTAACACTACTCAGAGACAGATGCAATCCTTTCTGAAATATACAATCTCTAACTGAACTAACACTACTCAGAGACAGATGCAATCCTTTCTGAAATATACAATCTCTAACTGAACTAACACTACTCAGAGACAGATGCAATCCTTTCTGAAATATACAATCTCTAACTGAACTAACACTACTCAGAGACAGATGCAATTCTTTCTGAAATATACAATCTCTAACTGAACTAATACTACTCAGAGACATGTGCAATCCTTTCTGAAATATACAATCTCTAACTGAACTAACACTACTCAGAGACAGATGCAATCCTTTCTGAAATATACAATCTCTAACTGAACTAACACTACTCAGAGACAGATGCAATTCTTTCTGAAATATACAATCTCTAATTGAACTAACACTACTCAGAGACAGATGCAATCCTTTCTGAAATATAAAATCTCTAACTGAACTAACACTACTCAGAGACAGATGCAATCCTTTCTGAAATATACAATCTCTAACTGAACTAACAATACTCAGAGACAGATGCAATCCTTTCTGAAATATACAATCTCTAACTGAACTAACACTACTCAGAGACAGATGCAATCCTTTCTGAAATATACAATCTCTAACTGAACTAACACTACTCAGAGACAGATGCAATCCTTTCTGAAATATACAATCTCTAACTGAACTAACACTACTCAGAGACAGATGCAATCCTTTCTGAAATATACAATCTCTAACTGAACTAACACTACTCAGAGACAGATGCAATTCTTTCTGAAATATACAATCTCTAATTGAACTAACACTACTCAGAGACAGATGCAATCCTTTCTGAAATATACAATCTCTAACTGAACTAACACTACTCAGAGACAGATGCAATCCTTTCTGAAATATACAATCTCTAACTGAACTAACACTACTCAGAGACAGATGCAATCCTTTCTGAAATATACAATCTCTAACTGAACTAACACTACTCAGAGACAGATGCAATCCTTTCTGAAATATACAATCTCTAACTGAACTAACACTACTCAGAGACAGATGCAATCCTTTCTGAAATATACAATCTCTAACTGAACTAATACTACTCAGAGACAGATGCAATCCTTTCTGAAATATACAATCTCTAACTGAACTAACACTACTCAGAGACAGATGCAATCCTTTCTGAAATATACAATCTCTAACTGAACTAACACTACTCAGAGACAGATGCAATTCTTTCTGAAATATACAATCTCTAATTGAACTAACACTACTCAGAGACAGATGCAATCCTTTCTGAAATATACTATCTCTAATTGAACTAATTCTACCCAGAGACAGATGCAATTCTTTCTGAAATATACTATCTCTAATTGAACTTATTCTACCCAGAGACAGATGCAATTCTTTCTGAAATATACAATCTCTAATTGAACTAATTCTACCCAGAGACAGATGCAATTCTTTCTGAAATATACAATCTCTAATTGAACTAATTCTACCCAGAGACAGATGCAATTCTTTCTGAAATATACAATCTCTAACTGAACTAACACTACTCAGAGACAGATGCAATTCTTTCTGAAATATACAATCTCTAATTGAACTAACACTACTCAGAGACAGATGCAATCCTTTCTGAAATATACAATCTCTAACTGAACTAACACTACTCAGAGACAGATGCAATTCTTTCTGAAATATACAATCTCTAATTGAACTAATTCTACCCAGAGACAGATGCAATTCTTTCTGAAATATACTATCTCTAATTGAACTAATTCTACCCAGAGACAGATGCAATCCTTTGTGAAATATACAATAGCCATTCATTGTGATCGCAACCCCTATTATAATTCATGATTAGGTTTACCTAACTAACTGAAGCCGAAATTTTTAAAAATTTTGATAATTTAAAATGAGATAATTACCTCTCTTTCTAAAACTAAGTTGTATGGAATGACAGACAGGGCAATGATCATTAGAAGAACACTGTGATGCGTTATGTCATAATAAACATGGTTTTGGAAATTCTTAGCCTCTATTGTGTCCAGTCTTTTTATAGGTAGTAGTTTTAACTTCATTGAGTATTGATTGCCCATTAGGTAGGTCAGAAATGTATTGAGTACTGCCACCACCTGGAATAAAATTGTATTCATTTTTTTTTTATTGTACTCTTGAACAGTTTGAATCACGCTGGAAAAATCGTCAGAGATTATTATATAAATCATAAATTATTTTTTAAAATAATGTAAAAATCTGATTTTAACTTTTGTTGGGTAAACCTATAACTTACAGACAAAGGCAGCTTGCCAAGTCTTTCATCGGCATTTCCTGAATACCATGCAATGGCAGACAGGTTTGCAATGTTTAAAAACTCAACTCCGAAATGTGGTTGCTTGTTGCGCAAATTTATGTTATCTAGGATTTGATACATAGGTTCCTGTTGGCACAATAAAAATGGCACATCTTAAAAAATAAAGTACAAATTTAGATTATTTTCAAGATAAAAATGTAATTGAAAAAATATTTGACTCGCCTTGGCAATATCATACTGCAATAAAAAATCACGGTCCAGCTTATGAGTCTGCCCCATTATAAAATTCTCAACGAAAATGTCGGCTAATTTCTTGGTTTTTTCTGACCTACTGTGGCCTTCTGTGACAGTGATGATGGGATGGAAGATGGCAGCAGTGTGAGAGCTGATCTCAACCTCTTGATAGGAGGTGGAGTGCACTTCAATCTCGCACGACAGGAAGGCCAGGAGGAAGATAAAGATCCACTAAACCAAGAATAAGGTCTCGTTAGAATTAGTTAACCACCATTTTTTAAATCACACTAAACCAAGAATAAGGTCTCGTTATAACTAGTTAACCATTATTTTTTAAATCACACTAAACCAAGAATAAGGTCTCGTTAGAATTAGTTAACCACCATTTTTTAAATCACACTAAACCAAGAATAAGGTCTCGTTATAACTAGTTAACCATTATTTTTTAAATCACACTAAACCAAAAATAAGGTCTCGTTAGAATTAGTTAACCACCATTTTTTAAATCACACTAAACCAAAAATAAGGTCTCGTTAGAATTAGTTAACCACCATTTTTTAAATCACACTAAACCAAGAATAAGGTCTCGTTATAATTAGTTGACCACCATTTTCTAAATCACTTTTATTACTTCAGAATATATATTTATCAAAAATTAATTATTTTAATTCCTTAATTTTTACTAGAAGTTAATATTAAAAAAGAATATGATTGTAGTAGCCTACGGAACCTGAATCAACTCTGTTAGAATTACTAAGTTGCTGGTGCTAAAGATCATTTTGATGTGTAGCATGGCGTAAGCCTGGGCATATAAAAGAGGGAATCCTTTCAGTTTTTGCTGATTCAATTCTGGGGGGAAAAAGCAGTTTAGTAAAAGCTGGGGATAAATAAAATGTTAGTCTAATTATTAATATATATTTAAGTTGCATAAATACTTGATTGAAACTATTTATCTTTTATTTTACAAAAAAAAAAACTTAACACTGTTATTTAATTGGCTTGGATTAGGTGTAGAGAGGCTATAAGAGAGGGGTGGGTCAACTCATGGCTCTTAGTTGCAAGAAATTAGCAGAACTCTAATTAGCAGAACTCTAATTAGCAGAATACACAAATGCTTTTTTGTAAACTTGTCAGACCACACACACACTAAACCCCACACATTTCAGGGTTCAGACCACACACATATCCTAAAACCACCACAAATTTCAGGGGTCTGACCACACACACCCCAAAACCCCACAAATGTCAGGGGTCAGTCCACACACACATCCTAAAACCCCACAAATTTCAGGGGTCTGACCACACACACCCACATCCTAAAACCCCACAAATTTCAGGGGTCAGACCACCCTACAACACAATCCTTTAAACCCTGCAACACAATCCTTTAAACCCTACACCAACCTTTAAAAACTACAACACAATCCTTTAAAATCTACAACACAATTCTTTAAACCCTACAGCACAATTCTTTAAACCCTCACTATTGTCATACCTTTAACTTTCGAGATAAGTTTTTTACAAATGGCCAACCTATCTTCTTGTTCAGTGTCTTGACCAGCCACAAAAACGATCTCATCATCAATGGGGGATCCTTTTGCCCTCTCTGCGGCAGCATCTGCACCATCAGTTTGTAGAATCTCACACCTAGAGATGAACATTAGACCATGTAAACACAAGAACTATCAATCTGAATCATTGACTAAATAGACAGCGTGAACACAACTATCAATCTGAATCATTGACTAAATAGACAATGTAAACACAAGAACTATCAATCTGAATCATTGACTAAATAGACAGCGTGAACACAACTATCAATCTGAATCATTGACTAAATAGACAATGTAAACACAAGAACTATCAATCTGAATCATTGACTAAATAGACAGCGTGAACACAACTATCAATCTGAATCATTGACTAAATAGACAATGTAAACACAAGAACTATCAATCTGAATCATTGACTAAATAGACAGCGTGAACACAACTATGAATCTGAATCATTGACTAAATAGACAATGTAAACACCAAAACTATGAATCTGAATCATTGACTAAATAGACAGCGTGGACACAACTATGAATCTGAATCATTGACTAAATAGACAGTGTGAACACAACTATGAATCTGAATCATTGACTAAATAGACAATGTAAACACAAAAACTATGAATCTGAATCATTGACTAAATAGACAGCGTGAACACAACTATGAATCTGAATCATTGACTAAATAGACAGCGTGAACACAACTATGATTCTGAATCATTGACTAAATAGACAGCGTGAACACAACTATGAATCTGAATCATTGACTAAATAGACAGCGTGAACACAACTATGAATCTGAATCATTGACTAAATAGACAATGTAAACACAAGAACTATTAATCTGAATCATTGACAAAATAGCCTCTATTGGCCCAAGAATGAGTGTAGGAGGGTTACTTACATGCTCTTCATTCTATCCCTCTGTATGACAGAAGTCAGTTGGTTGGGGATGCTTAAACTTGTATCAGATTTAAAGGTCTCCCATGTATCCTGAAGACCACATTTGTGCAATCTAGGACAAGATAATCTTCACACTGTAAGCCATGCTACTTCATCTCATGCATATATATCCTAAAGAGATATACATACATACAGAGTGACAGCAAGAATGATCAGCCTCGCCATATGAGGTTGATGAACCACAGGTCAAACATACCGAGAAAAAGCCTCATCCAGAGTTTTAGCATCGATGCTATAATTAGCAATAAAAAGCTCCTTTTTATAGGTGTCCAAAACAGAGAAGAGGTTGTAGAAGTTTTCTGTCTGGTTGAGTGACAGCAGAAAGATGACTGTGTTTTCATACTCCTCGAGAATGACAGTTTCTGGAATGTACGTCACCACAACTTGTTTCACACGATCACTGCGACGTTGAGGTTCTAGTGTTATGGTGAGGTAGTACCCAGCACCTGGGGATAGATGTAACCAATTAAGGTGAGGTTCTAGTGTTATGGTGAGGTAGTACCCTGCACCTGGGGATAGATGTAACCAATTAAGGTGAGGTTCTAGTGTTATGGTGAGGTAGTACCCTGCACCTGGGGATAGATGTAGCAAGTTAAGGTGAGGTTCTAGTGTTATGGTGAGGTAGTACCCTGCACCTGGGGATAGATGTAGCAAAAGGTGAGGTTCTAGTGTTATGGTGAGGTAGTACCCTGCACCTGGGGATAGATGTAACCAATTAAGGTGAGGTTCTAGTGTTATGGTGAGGTAGTACCCAGCACCTGGGGATAGATGTAACCAATTAAGGTGAGGTTCTAGTGTTATGGTGAGGTAGTACCCAGCACCTGGGGATAGATGTAACCAATTAAGGTGAGGTTCTAGTGTTATGGTGAGGTAGTACCCAGCACCTGGGGATAGATGTAACCAATTAAGGTGAGGTTCTTGTGTTATGGTGAGGTAGTACCCTGCACCTGGGGATAGATGTAACCAATTAAGGTGAGGTTCTAGTGCTATGGTGAGGTAGTACCCTGCACCTGGAGATAGATGTAGCAAGTTAAGGTGAGGTTCTAGTGTTATGGTGAGGTAGTACCCAGCACCTGGGGATATATGTAACCAATTAAGGTGAGGTTCTAGTGTTATGGTGAGGTAGTACAGTGCACCTGGGGATAGATGTAACCAATTAAGGTGAGGTTCTAGTGTTATGGTGAGGTAGTACAGTGCACCTGGGGATAGATGTAACCAATTTAGGTGAGGTTCTAGTGTTATGGTGAGGTAGTACCCAGCACCTGGGGATAGATGTAACCAATTAAGGTGAGGTTCTAGTGTTATGGTGAGGTAGTACCCTGCACCTGGGGATAGATGTAACCAATTAAGGTGAGGTTCTAGTGTTATGGTGAGGTAATACCCTGCACCTGGGGATAGATGTAGCAAGTTAAGGTGAGGTTCTAGTGTTATGGTGAGGTAGTACCCAGCACCTGGGGATAGATGTAACAAAAGGTGAGGTTCTAGTGTTATGGTGAGGTAGTACCCTGCACCTGGGGATAGATGTAACAAGTTAAGGTGAGGTTCTAGTGTTATGGTGAGGTAGTACCCTGCACCTGGGGATAGATGTAACTAATTAAGGTGAGGTTCTAGTGTTATGGTGAGGTAGTACCCTGCACCTGGGTATAGATGTAACCAATTAAGGTGAGGTTCTAGTGTTATGGTGAGGTAGTACCCTGCACCTGGGGATAGATGTAACCAATTAAGGTGAGGTTCTAGTGTTATGGTGAGGTAGTACCCTGCACCTGGAGATAGATGTAGCAAGTTAAGGTGAGGTTCTAGTGTTATGGTGAGGTAGTACCCAGCACCTGGGGATATATGTAACCAATTAAGGTGAGGTTCTAGTGTTATGGTGAGGTAGTACAGTGCACCTGGGGATAGATGTAACCAATTAAGGTGAGGTTCTAGTGTTATGGTGAGGTAGTACAGTGCACCTGGGGATAGATGTAACCAATTAAGGTGAGGTTCTAGTGTTATGGTGAGGTAGTACCCAGCACCTGGGGATATATGTAACCAATTAAGGTGAGGTTCTAGTGTTATGGTGAGGTAGTACCCAGCACCTGGGGATATATGTAACCAATTAAGGTGAGGTTCTAGTGTTATGGTGAGGTAGTACCCAGCACCTAGTGATAGATGTAACCAATTAAGGTGAGGTTCTAGTGTTATGGTGAGGTAGTACAGTGCACCTGGGGATAGATGTAACCAATTAAGGTGAGGTTCTAGTGTTATGGTGAGGTAGTACAGTGCACCTGGGGATAGATGTAACCAATTAAGGTGAGGTTCTAGTGTTATGGTGAGGTAGTACCCAGCACCTGGGGATAGATGTAACCAATTAAGGTGAGGTTCTAGTGTTATGGTGAGGTAGTACCCTGCACCTGGGGATAGATGTAACCAATTAAGGTGAGGTTCTAGTGTTATGGTGAGGTAATACCCTGCACCTGGGGATAGATGTAGCAAGTTAAGGTGAGGTTCTAGTGTTATGGTGAGGTAGTACCCAGCACCTGGGGATAGATGTAACAAAAGGTGAGGTTCTAGTGTTATGGTGAGGTAGTACCCTGCACCTGGGGATAGATGTAACAAGTTAAGGTGAGGTTCTAGTGTTATGGTGAGGTAGTACCCTGCACCTGGGGATAGATGTAACTAATTAAGGTGAGGTTCTAGTGTTATGGTGAGGTAGTACCCTGCACCTGGGTATAGATGTAACCAATTAAGGTGAGGTTCTAGTGTTATGGTGAGGTAGTACCCTGCACCTGGGGATAGATGTAACCAATTAAGGTGAGATTCTAGTGTTATGGTGAGGTAGTACCCTGCACCTGGGGATAGATGTAACCAATTAAGGTGAGGTTCTAGTGTTATGGTGAGGTAGTACCCAGCACCTGGGGATAGATGTAACTAATTAAGGTGAGGTTCTAGTGTTATGGTGAGGTAGTACCCAGCACCTAGGGATAGATGTAACCAATTAAGGTGAGGTTCTAGTGTTATGGTGAGGTAGTACCCTGCACCTGGGGATATATGTAACTATCTTATGAGCATAACTTTATATTTACATTTTTTAAATCGAAAAAAAAAAGATATGTTTGAAGTAATTAAAATTAATTTTTTTTTGAGATCTTTTATTATTTAATTATTTTTTTTTCAATAAAAAAAATGTTTGGAGAAATTGAAATAAATATCTCATGAGTTAATATTTTAATGGTTTTTTTAATTGAAAAAAAAAATGTTTGTAATAGTTACCTAAAAGAACACGTAAAAAATTAGCACTTCCTGAACAAATGAGATGTTTGGCCATGAAAAAGGCCAGCACGTCTGCAGTCAGTTCTACATGTTCCAGACTGTGAACCAGCAGAAGAATTGTTTTATCCACCTTCTCACTGCTGATGATGTTACACAGCCGCAGGCAGTGGCCCGGCTCCAGGTTTGTGAATGGCTCCTCCAGTATAATGACCTGAATAAAGAGATCCAATAAAAATTGCAATTTCTGACAAGACAGTCAATAGTGCAGGTGGAGTAGAGTTCACCTGTGGCATGGCTCTATCTTACATAATTCTAGACTAGCAGGAGAGCAGTTGTGGGCTCCACTGTTTAACAAGAAGAAGTTTTAGGCCTAATCTCTTGTAGAAGTAAAACAATCCAGTTTGGTAACCTCAATAGATATTTTAGAAAGTCTAATTGTTTACATCTAGTGTACAATAGACTTTTGAATGCCTTTAAAAATAAATTATAGATTAAAACTATTTTAAAATGTATTAAATGCAGTATTTAAAAATGTGTCTGGAACAACACCACAATAATACATTCATAAATTCAAACATTGATTAGATTACACATCCCTGTTAGATAGTTCACTCACTTTACAGAATAAAAAATTACTTCTAATTAGCTAGTAATTAATATTGAAAGCTTGATTAACTAGCATTAATTAATCTACATTGTAAGATTGATTAAATATCTTGCTCAAATTAATATGGTAGGTTTCATTAATTGACATCAACAAATCAATATTATAAGCTTGATTAACTAATATAATTAAATCAATAATGTAAACTTGATTAACTGATATAATTAAATCATTAATGTAAACTTGATTAGCTAACCTACCTTGTTGTGCCCAATGAATGCAAGAGCTATTTGCAACATTCTAATTTCAGATGACTTAAGGTCAGTAAGGGGTATATGTAACAATTTATGTAACTTGAATTTAGCTGCAATATCTTCTACTTTGGTCATTTCTGCATCCTGGCAGTAATACTTTAACTGTGTAGGGAAAACACATGATTCAAGTAATACTTCAAATGAGTAGGGAAAACACATGATTCAAGTAATACTTCAAATGAGTAGGGAAAACACATGATTAAAGTAATACTTCAAATGAGTAAGGAAAACACATGATTCAAGTAATACTTCAAATGAGTTGGGAAAACACATGATTAAAGTAATACTTCAACTGTTTAGGGAAAACATGTGATTAAAGTAATACTTCAAATGAGTAGGGAAAACACATGATTAAAGTAATACTTCAAATGAGTAGGGAAAACACATGATTAAATTAATACTTCAAATGAGTAGGGAAAACACATGATTAAAGTAATACTTCAAATGAGTAGGGAAAACACAAGATTAAAGTAATACTTCAACTGTGTAGGGAAAACACATGATTAAAGTAATACTTCAACTGTGTAGGGAAAACACATGATTAAAGTAATACTTCAAATGAGTAGGGAAAACACATGATTAAAGTAATACTTCAACTGTGTAGGGAAAACACATGATTAAAGTAATACTTCAACTGTGTAGGGAAAACACAAGATTAAAGTAATACTTTAACTGTGTAGGGAAAACAAACATGTGAATGATATCTCAGTTGCGTATGGAAAACAAACAAAATTTTCAGGCAAGTGGCCATAAGGTAACTGGTCCTTAGGCAATTAGCTTTACAGCAACTTCCTTCCCCCCCCCTCCCCCCAAAAAAAAAAGCTTCACCGAATTCTACCTCCCAAAACAATGCCAGATTGAAAAGATTTAAAAGCTTTGGTTCATCTAGAAAATACCTTTGTAAACAAACTTAAATTTTCCTTGACTGTCAATTTCCTATACAAATTTGTGATGCTTTTGGTACAAATTCCAGTTGTTTTTCGAATCTGCTTAAGATCGTTGTTGAGGTCCAAACCATACACTAATATTCTTCCCTGCTCTACTTTGACCTGACCTTAAATAAACATAATGACAGCCAAATTAAAATCTCACTCAGCCTATTAGGTTAAACTAGTTGTTTTTATTAACCCAATCTCTATATGAGTCAAAGAAATTATAGACTTACTTTTACTGGATAGACTGCTAAGCAAATTAAATTTTAAAAACTTGATTCAAGATCATCTTTTTATATCTTTAATACCCTAAAATTTTAAAATACTTCAGCTTCTAAACCTGGCTTGTCTATCTGTAAACCACACACTCCTACACTCTCTTCTTTACTGACATGCTCTTCTCTATCCTAAACTCTCAGTGTCCAATGGAATTCATACTTTTACCATTGTCCAATGGAATTCATACTTTTACCATTGTCCAATGGAATTCATACTTTTACCATTGTCCAATGGAATTCATACTTTTACCATTGTTCAATGGAATTCATACTTTTACCATTGTCCAATGGAATTCATACTTTACCAGTGTCCAATGGAATTCATACTTTTACCATTGTCCAATGGAATTCATACTTTTACTAGCATCCTACCCGCTGGAAAATTGATTCCACCAATATTGATAGAACATTAGTAACCTACAAGCTTGTGGCATGGATTCAAACATGGTGACTCACCTTTAAATACGTCCGTCAGATGAAGTCTTCCACTGTTGCTAATTAGTGCTGTCACTTGGTTCTCATACATATCCATTGAAACATTGATCATAAATGAATTGCTGATCTGTTTGCAGATTAATTAGGGTCTAAATTGATGTGATTCATGGATACAAATGTTTATATTCAAATAGCTAAAATAAGCAATGATCTGGTTAAATATATTTCAGAATTAATGATTGTTTTCTTCAAGAAATAAATCATCTTTTTCCTCTTGTGCCCAAGACACAGATGAAGTAGAGTAGACCCAGAGACATTCTACTGACTTGAACTGGATTTGAAAAGAACTAAATACCATAACTAAAAGAAAAAGTTGTTACTTATTTAGTCAGAAAAACGAAATGGTTGAATAAGAACAAGGAGAAGATAAAAGAAATGATGTCAATAAAAAGAAAACCTTTTCAAGCTTGATACTAGGTGAGAGTTCAGTTTGATCTTCGTGAAAATTTGGGTTGACAAATTTGTCTTCAGACAACTCCTGTTTATGATTCTGATGACAAATATTTAAATAACTTAAGCCACCATGTTTTTAAAATATGTCTTATTTTCTCATGTTAACATAGCCACTCTAGAAAACTTTGGAGCTGAACCCCCACTTATTGACTATCTATACTCATTGATTAAACCATTAAGTGAATAATTTAATGCACCTTAGGTGATAAATTAAACCCTCTTAAAGTGATAAATTGAACCCTCGTAAGTGATAAATTGAACCGTCTTTGAGATAAATTGAACCCTCCTTGAGATAAATTGAACCCTTCTTGTGATAGATTGAACCCTTCTTGTGATAGATTGAACCCTCCTTGTGATAGATTGAACCCTTCTTGTGATAGATTGAACCCTTCTTGTGATAGATTGAACCCTTCTTGTGATAGATTGAACCCTTCTTGTGATAGATTGAACCCTCCTTGTGATAGATTGAACCCTTCTTGTGATAGATTGAACCCTTCTTGTGATAGATTGAACCCTTCTTGTGATAGATTGAACCCTTCTTGTGATAGATTGAACCCTTCTTGTGATAGATTGAACCCTTCTTGTGATAGATTGAACCCTTCTTGTGATAGATTGAACCCTTCTTGTGATAGATTGAACCCTTCTTGTGATAGATTGAACCCTTCTTGTGATAGATTGAACCCTTCTTGTGATAGATTGAACCCTTCTTGTGATAAATTGAACCCTCCTAGAGTGATAAATTGAACCATCCTCCAATTGCTGACATTAATAAAAAAAAATTAAAACTGTAATATTGAAAGCTGAGATGACTAATAAAAGAATTAACTGACAAACGACCTTCCAATAATTACCTCACTTTGTTTAAACCAGACAGGTTTATTCCTGATGATGATGTTGTAGAAGAGAAAAGCCAGGAGGAGGTAGATGAAACTTGAGAGGAGCCTCAGGTATATGTTATGTATAAAGAACATACTCTTTAAGTAGCGTGAGGAGAACATGTTGTAGCTGTGTATTCCCACACCTGAAAACACAGTTACTTTCACATAAAAAACAAGTATTTGCAATGTTCAATGATTGTTTTATTTCATGTGTTGTTATATCCAGATAGATCAAATTAATTCAAATAATCCAAATTTCTTCCCATTAAATGATCATGTTTTGACTGGTAAAGCTTTAAAGGTTTGGTGTTGTATCCATATAAGTTTTTTACTTCAATAAATAGATAAATTTATATATATATATATATATATATATATATATATATATATATATATATATATATATATATATATATATATATATATATATATATATATATATATATATATATATATATATATATATATCCCTAAAAACAAAAATGTATTTATATGTATGTAGTCATGTATATATACATATTAGTATATAATTTTGTGTATGTATGTATTATGTAGTCATGTATATATATATACATATTATTAAATAATTGTGTGTATGTATGTATTATGTAGTCATGTATATATACATATTATTATATAATTTTGTGTATGTGTGTATTATGTAGTCATGTATATATACATATTATTATATAATTTTGTGTATGTATGTATTATGTAGTCATGTATATATACATATTATTATATAATTTTGTGTATGTGTGTATTATGTAGTCATGTATATATACATATTATTATATAAATTTGTGTATGTGTGTATTATGTAGTCATGTATATATACATATTATTATATAATTTTGTGTATGTATGTATTATGTAATCTTTTGCTGACTGAATGTGTAATTTCCTGTTGCTGTTTCCGCACATACCTAATTGTTCATAATGGAACATAGTGCTCATGCCTGTATGAAGACTGACACTGATGATCATATCAAGGAGGTAGTTCATCTTCATCCCAGGCAAGAAGACACGGGACACAAAGATGCTTGAAACATAGATCAGGCAGGTGATCGATGTGGTGGATTTAGCTGTGAGAGACAATGAGATCAGGTGTGGTGGATGTGGTGGATTTAGCTGGGAGAGACAATGGGATCAGGTGTGGTGGATTTGGCTGGGAGAGACAATGGGATCAGGTGTGGTGGATTTGGCTGGGAGAGAAAATGGGATCAGGTGTGGTGGATTTGGCTGGGAGAGACAATGGGATCAGGTGTGGTGGATTTGGCTGGGAGAGACAATGGGATCAGGTGTGGTGGATTTGGCTGGGAGAGACAATGAGATCAGGTGTGGTGGATGTGGTGGATTTGGCTGGGAGAGACAATGGGATCAGGTGTTGTGGATTTAGCTGGGAGAGACAATGGGATCAGGTGTGGTGGATTTGGCTGGGAGAGACAATGGGATCAGGTGTGGTGGATTTGGCTGGGAGAGACAATGGGATCAGGTGTGGTGGATTTGGCTGGGAGAGACAATGGGATCAGGTGTGGTGGATTTGGCTGGGAGAGACAATGAGATCAGGTGTGGTGGATTTGGCTGGGAGAGACAATGGGATAAGGTGTGGTGGATTTAGCTGGGAGAGACAATGGGATCACATGTGGTGGATGTGGTGGATTTGGCTGGGAGAGACAATGGGATCAGGTGTGGTGGATTTAGCTGGGAGAGACAATGGGATCAGGTGTGGTGGATTTGGCTGGGAGAGACAATGGGATCAGGTGTGGTGGATTTGGCTGGGAGAGACAATGGGATAAGGTGTGATGGATTTAGCTGGGAGAGACAATAGGATCATGTATGGTGGATTTGGCTGGGAGAGACAATGGGATCAGGTGTGGTGGATTTAGCTGGGAGAGACAATGAGATCAGGTGTGGTGGATGTGGTGGATTTGGCTGGGAGAGACAATGGGATCAGGTGTGGTGGATTTGGCTGGGAGAGACAATGGGATCAGGTGTGGTGGATTTGGCTGGGAGAGACAATGAGATCAGGTGTGGTGGATGTGGTGGATTTGGCTGGGAGAGACAATGGGATCAGGTGTTGTGGATTTAGCTGGGAGAGACAATGGGATCAGGTGTGGTGGATTTGGCTGGGAGAGACAATGGGATCAGGTGTGGTGGATTTGGCTGGGAGAGACAATGGGATCAGGTGTGGTGGATTTGGCTGGGAGAGACAATGGGATCAGGTGTGGTGGATTTGGCTGGGAGAGACAATGAGATCAGGTGTGGTGGATGTGGTGGATTTGGCTGGGAGAGACAATGGGATCAGGTGTGGTGGATTTGGCTGGGAGAGACAATGGGATCAGGTGTGGTTGATTTGGCTGGGAGAGACAATGAGATCAGGTGTGGTGGATTTGGCTGGGAGAGACAATAGGATCAGATGTGGTGGATATGGTGGATTTGGCTGGGAGAGACAATGAGATCACCTGTGGTGGATGTGGTGGATTTAGCTGGGAGAGACAATGGGATCAGGTGTGGTGGATTTAGCTGGGAGAGACAATAGGATCAGTTTGAAAGATGCTAGGCTAAATTGCTCTCTTAGTTTATCTTCAATATGTTACTAACAAAATCAAATTTATCACCAAGATGGAACAACCTTTACTAATGTGGCTGCTACCGATGACAAAAGACTTACCACTGGGATGTAGCATACTACCAAGGACACATAAGACTTACCACTGGGGTGTAGCACACTACCAACAATGCCATAAGACTTACCACTGGGATGTAGCACACTACCAAGGACACATAAGACTTACCACTGGGGTGTAGCACACTACCAAGGACACATAAGACTTACCACTGGGGTGTAGCACACTACCAACAATGCCATAAGACTTACCACTGGGGTGTAGCACACTACCAACAATGCCATAAGACTTACCACTGGGGTGTAGCACACTACCAAGGACACATAAGACTTACCACTGGGGTGTAGCACACTACCCAGAATGCAGAATGACGCCAGGCTAAAGGAGAAAGTGTAGAAGAACAAGTAGACAATCCAGGGATCAGTTCTCTTTAAAATGGCTTCCTTGGACAACATGGGCACAACAAAGGAAGTGGCAAAGACTGTGGCCAGTATGGACAGGTCGACAAAGATCCAGAGATACCATGTTAGCCAGTACATGAAAGGTCGTACACCCATTCGTTGGTATATAGCCTGTGGGGGGGGTGCAAGGTGAAGGTCATCAGATTCAAGCGGGTTAAGCTTTGTATTTAAACTATCAGTCAAGGTCAATAATTGGCTGTGCTAAAAATACAACTGTTATAATATATATGAGGCAAAATGCTTAAACTTATTTCAGACATATTAACATAATACACAGACATCTCACAACAATTTTTACTAGTCAGTTGGTCTGTTCTATGCTGTTTTTTTTAAGGAATTACTAGATATCTGTCTGCAGAAAAACACTAAAAGCATTCTTACTACATCACACACATAGACACGTATACGCACATACACACATACATCATGCAATAATTTCCTCCAAATTGCAGGTATAAAAGTTATAAATGTAAATTTTCCAAAATTTAGGAATGCCTGAGTTAGATCTTCCAGAAACGAAACAAAACGTGAAATCACCAGAATGCATTTTTCTCTCTCCTTGGCCAGAAGGTACACACATCGAGCCACTGAGATGGCGCTGACTAGGATCATGAATGTTGTGATTCTGTAGCAGCGGGACATGGTCAGGAAGGGGTCGTCACTGGGCGGGTTCTCGGGGTACATCTGTGTGAGGATTGTGATATCATTCTCTATCCCGGTACAGTTGTTGATGTAGGCCTCCATGATCAGTTTGATCAGGTACACTTCACCGGAGGAATCAAAGCCTGGTGGGGGTAGGAAACATGATGTAGTGGGTGTATATGGATAGACTCTGGGTGGTGTGAGGTAATGGGGAATGTGATAGTGGTGAGGTGATGGGCAATGTGACAGTGGTGAGGTAATGGGGAATGTGGTAATCACTAATGGTGAGGTAATGGGGAATGTGACATTGGTGATGTAATGGGGAATGTGGTAATCACTAATGGTGAGGTAATGGGGAATGTGACATTGGTGATGTAATGGGGAATGTGGTAATCACTAATGGTGAGGTAATGGGGAATGTGACAGTGGCGAGGTAAATGGGAATGTGACAGTTGTGAGGTAATGGGGAATGTGGTAATCACTAATGGTGAGGTAATGGGGAATGTGACAGTGGTGAGGTAAATGGGAATGTGATAGTGGTGAGGTAATGGGGAATGTGGTAATGGTGAGGTAATGGGGAATGTGGTAATCACTAATGGTGAGGTAATGGGGAATGTGACAGTGGTGAGGTAATGGGGAATGTGGTAATCACTAATGGTGAGGTAATGGGGAATGTGACAGTGGTGATGTAATGGGGAATGTGGTAATCACTAATGGTGAGGTAATGGGGAATGTGACATTGGTGATGTAATGGGGAATGTGGTAATCACTAATGGTGAGGTAATGGGGAATGTGACAGTGGCGAGGTAAATGGGAATGTGACAGTTGTGAGGTAATGGGGAATGTGGTAATCACTAATGGTGAGGTAATGGGGAATGTGACAGTGGTGAGGTAAATGGGAATGTGATAGTGGTGAGGTAATGGGGAATGTGGTAATGGTGAGGTAATGGGGAATGTGGTAATCACTAATGGTGAGGTAATGGGGAATGTGACAGTGGTGAGGTAATGGGGAATGTGGTAATCACTAATGGTGAGGTAATGGGGAATGTGACAGTGGTGATGTAATGGGGAATGTGGTAATCACTAATGGTGAGGTAATAAGGAATGTGACAGTGGTGAGTTAATGGGGAATGTGGTAATCACTAATGGTGAGGTAATGGGGAATGTGACAGTGGTGATGTAATGGGGAATGTGGTAATCACTAATGGTGAGGTAATGGGGAATGTGACAGTGGTGAGGTAATGGGGAATGTGGTAATCACTAATGGTGAGGTAATAAGGAATGTGACAGTGGTGAGGTAATGGGGAATGTGGTAATCACTAATGGTGAGGTAATGGGGAATGTGACAGTGGTGATGTAATGGGGAATGTGACAGTGGTGATAGTGGTGAGGTAATAAGGAATGTGATAGTGGTGAAGTAATAAGGAATGTGACAGTGGTGAGGTAAAAGGGAGTGTGACAGTGGTGAGATAATTGGGAATGTGGCAGTGGTGAGTGAGGGTCTAAGACCTGTATACAGTTTATAAGGGGTCGACCACACAAGACCTACACTCAGCAGAAGGGGGTGGACTTATGTGAAGGTATGTGACCACAGTGATGAGTGTTTAAGAAAGTGTGACGTAGCAAAGTGTAAAGTACAAACTACTTGAAAAAGTGTTCGTTTGTGACATCGTTATTGGATGTCGGTCTGGCATTAGATAACGACTTGTCACGTGACGATGGGATGACATGGGGGCTAAGTTAAGTGGGAATCGGCCAAACAATGTGACGTCACCTGGATCCTGCATGCCCATCCAATCCAGCGGGCTGTGTGTGGGGCGCATGATGACCGTCAGCCGCTTGGGGAGCTCAGTCGAGTTGTAAATGACGTCATCAAACGCGTACGCGTGGGTGACCTGATCGGGGTTGTCGGTGGCGAACTCCACCATCTCGAACTCGGAATAAAAATTTAACAACGTAACTGTGGATTAGTAAAATGTTGAACTCTTGACGAAACAAATATTTTTTTTTTTTAAATTCAACAAGAATTTAACTGAGGATAAGTAAAAAGTTGAACGCTTGACGAAACAATTTTTTTTTAAAAATTTAACAAAAACCAAGCTGGGGATAAGTAAAAAGATTGACCGTTGAAGAAACAAATCTCTAGTTTTAAAAATCGCAACCAAATCCCAATGTGTGTACCTTAAACCAGTGGCGTAAGAAACGTGGCGGATAGGGGACTATACCCCTCCCATGTGAATATTGTGATACCATCGTAACTTTCTTAACCCTCTCCCTGACAACATATTTGGTACCCTTTCCCCTGCCACCTTGGTGGATTACATATAATTCCCGGAATAAATACAATATATGTTATAATATATAGCCTATATATATATATATATATATATATATATATATATATATATATATATATATATATATATATATATATGTATATATATGTATATATATATATGTATATATATGTATATATATATATATATATATATATATATATATATATATATATATATATATATATATATATATATATATATATATATATATATATATATATATATATGGAAACAATTTAAACCCCTCCCATAGCCAATTCCTGGATACGCCATTGCCTTAGGCTAACAAAATTGTTAACTTTCTTTGTTATCATGCCCCAGCCAATCACAATGCGTAATATCCACATTAACAACCCAAAACCCTAAGAAAACTTCTAACTTTATCCTAAACAAAAACGATCTCGTACGGTAAGGTTACCCAAAGAAACGTTCTATGCGCTATCCAAACATGAGTTGTCTTGTCTAGCATGTAACATAACTCCAACTTACTGTCATACACATTGGGCGGCAGGCCGTTACGGATGAGCATCCTTTTCACCTGAGCCATCAGTTCGTCCGTGGCCGGACAAGATGGCGCGTAGGCGATGAAAATGTTCGAATACGGGGGGTAGGCTTTTGACCTGAGGTGAATGTCCACCGGGGTGGGCGCGAGGCTCCGGGTGTCGTTGCCGTGCCGGCTGTCCCCTAGCGTCCTGTCGGTGATGTCTAGGTAGCGAATGAGGAAGATGACGACGACGTAGGAGAAGATGGCGCTGATGGACAAGCTCGGCCAGTTCCGGATCTCAAGCAGAATGTTCTTCCAGAGTAAAACGTAGAACTGTCCAAACATGTTGCGGTAATGGTTAGGTCCCATATTGGCACCGCTCCCTGAGGGGTGGGGGAGGAAGAAAAAGATAATGGTTAGATCCCATATTGGCACCGCTCCCTGAGGGGGGTGGGGGAGGAAGAAAAAGATAAAGGCCTATATTTTAAAATGACAAGTATTGAGTGGTGGGTCCATAACAGCATGCCAGTTGTGACGATGGCATGTGCTACACTAGTACAAAGGTGAGAGGCGTGTTCTTTCTCAATGCCGGACTATAGAGTCCTTGCAAACACGTGACCTAAATCACGTGATACCTACGCCCGCCGCCACAGTGGTGTACATCAGACGTAAACACAATCAGCTGTTCGCCAGCGCTGGACGTGTTCACCAGCGCTGAACGTGTTCACCGTATGTAAAGAATCGCGCCCGCGGAAAAGGAAAAATATGTTAAAAAACTTGAACTCTTAGGAATTGAAGATCCTTATACAGTTATTGACAGTTTCGTGGATAATATAAATATGTGGCCGAAATTTCTAAATAAAAATACTGTTAGTAATACCGTTTGCGTTTAGAGTTTAAGTAGACGAAGCTGATCAAATGCAGTAATATATTATAGGTTATCTACTGTAGCAAACGTGAGACCACTTAACTCCTACAAAACCCACACTACAACGGCTAATATAATCCATGGGTAATAACCAATCTGGGTAGCATGTTATACAATTTAAGACCCTTATAATCCAGCAGGGAAGTAATCAGACACGTTAATACTGACGTTCAACCCTCATGATGGCTGCCCCCACCTGTATCTAGCCCACAATAAAACCTAAGAGGAGTCTGCCCTGCCCTCCCCTGAAAATGTCTCACCTCCGTGATACCCAGCCCCACAGAGATAGTATTTCTTATATAATTTTGACCCTCAGGGCCCAGCAGGGAGAACAAAGGGGAAAGTCCCACTGCTCTCCCCTCAACACTTCTCACCTCGGTGTCATGTTATGTCATTTATAGCACACATGGCTTATCAGGGGAAAGCATTAAGGCATTAAGAATCTTAACTCTGGACAGCTACACACTAGTATACTAGCTACACACTAGGTGCCTACTGTAAACTACTAGACTGTAGGCCCTATGTAGACCTGCAATTGTATCAATTGTAGACTGGGTCCATTGTTATTATTCTAAACCATCTCACTTATAATGTTTCTAGCTTGATTTTTTTCTTTTATAAACAGTGGGGTTTTTTTTTAAAATTAGCCTAATCATTAACCAAATAATAATAATGTGGTTATTTGTTGTTGGCTGGTATGATCTAGATTGTACTACTAGGCTACAAAAACTTAGTAGACCAATTACTAGATATGAATTTGAATTTAATTAAACTCAGTCCAGTATCAGATACAAATTGCTGTAAAAAGACAACAAAGTAGGTAGGCCTTAGTAATTTATTAAAGCCTTCTACTACAATAATATCAACTACATGCTTGTATAAAGTTTTTACAATTTAATTTAAGTAGCAGATTCTAGATCTAAGTCTAGTCATACTAGAATTTCAGAAAATTTCGTTTGCTAAAAAAATGATAAGATAATAGAGCGAGATTTTAGATCTTAGAGACAATTAAATGCTTTATTAGGCCTATTATGACTACTTTTGATTTATTATGGGTGTATTTTGAATCGAATGTAGATCTAAAGTAATTAAATTTAAGTAAAGAAGTAGATTCTAGATTCTATGTCTACCCAGCGGAGCCAGGTATTAGGCCTACTATTAGATCTTATTATTCTTATTATTACTTTTGACTTTGTCTTTTACTATTTGTATTTGTGAAGGTCGAGCATATTTGTTTTATTAATAGTTATCTTTTATAATTAAAATGGAGTTTATTATTTTACTGTCCTTACCTGAAACAAAGTATCGAAAACTGCATTTGATCAGATTCGACTACTTTAACTCTAAACGCAAACAGTATTACTAACAGTATTTTTATTTAGAAATTTTGTCCACATATTTATTTATACGAAACTGTCAATAACAGTATAAGGATCTTCAATTCCTAAGAGTTCAAGTTTTTTAACGTATTTTTCCTTTTCCGCGGGTGCGGCTCTTTACATACAGTGAACGCGTCCAGCGCTGGTGAACACGTCCAGCGCTGGCGAACAGCTGATTGTGTTTACGTCTGATGTACACCACTGTGGCGGCGGGCGTAGGTATCACGAACGGACGTGACGTCATATGAAAGGACTCTATACCAGCAGCTATTGCTGGAAATTATTACAGCGTACCAATAGCTGGAAAGTATGGGAAGTTCCTATCAGTCGGCTATTGTGAATTATTTAGTGTTTATTTAACTGTACCAGTCGGCTACTGCTGGGAGGTATTTTAAGTCCACTGTTATCTGGTCTTAAAAGACTACTTCCCACGTTACTTTCATATACAAGCAGACCAGTGTCACGTTCAGAATAGATGCCTGAAAGAAACTCTGAACCAGACTAACACGAATGATCGTACAAAGCGAAATGTCGATCAAGCAGTCTGGAGCTAAGATCACTGTAGAAATCAATTCGTACCTCGATCTTACACCCTTTTGGGAAAGGAGTTCCATGTACACAATAGTGCCACCCCCCCCCCCCCCGACGACGGTCCACGGGGCAAGTGAAGTGAGTTCATTGTTTCTGTGACCTTGGCAAATGAAGGGATACAGTGGTCAACACTATGCCCAGCCGCCTTTACTTTCCCTAACATGAGTTAGGTACCCATCAGAGCTGGGTGGACGCAATGATGATGTACTGACTTGAACCCGGATTCGAACTCGAGGGTTTCCTGTTAGCAGTTAAGCGCTATATCCCTAACAGATGTCTGAAAGAAACACTGCCCGGAGCACGTCCGCCGCCCCCCCCCCTCCCCCATCCGGGAAATTTAATTGCTTGTGCCTCCCCCCCCCCCCCAAGAAAGTTATAGAAACACTTGTAACACTCGCAGAAAGATAACTTCAAACATTCTTATTGTTGTAGGATCTAAGTTTAGACTGTAGATCTGCCACTACGGTAGTGGGCCACTACCAGTACCCACTTTCCGATGATTTTCGCCATGTCACGCAGCTTTAAATCAGCCTCGAACGTGTTGTTGTTGTTTTTTTTATAATAGACCAACGGTTTAATAATAAAATTAACTCTCGCAAAATGGCCAACTATAATGTGTTACAAAAGTATAAAATACCAACAAGTCGAATCCAAATAAAAGAATTTGTCACATTCAAAGATTACAATAACGAATCTTCTTTTCAATGGTATCTGAACATTGTGTTCAAGTTCGGTGCTAGACGGGTTTTCACAAGTAAACGCACCCTCACATTAAAATCGCGCCGATATAGTACTATCAGTATCATATGCCTACACAGTAGTTGATACTTTTTGCTTTTCCCTCTGAGTACAAGCTAATCTATTGACTTAATCAAGATAAAACGCTTGTTTTCGTGTTTAGTCGTGTTTTAAAATGTTGGCCGTATTGGACAATGGTCACGCTAATCTGTTTAAATATTGCGTTTTGTCTTATTACATTTGTTTTTTTACAAAGGTGAAGACTGTCTTAGATGTTGGTTGACCTTGTCACACACATGTGTCTAAATTTGTTTCATCTAATGAATGTCACATCATCGCCTGCACGGAATGACATACACCTCGTTACATGACTACAGATGAATTTGGTGGTGAATTTTGAAGTATCCCTTTTTCAGCAGTCGCAGTTGGATGATTTCGCGGACATGGTAGATGTGCCAACCATGGTGGGGTAGTGGGTGATAGGTGGGGTAGTGGGTGGTGGGTGGGGTAGTGGGTGGTGGGTGGGGTAGTGGGTGGTGGGTGGGGTAGTGGGTGGTGGGTGGGGTAGTGGGTGGTAGGTGGCTTCGGACTAAAACTTGTTCTCAGAGTGCTCTCTCTTCTAGACACAACAAAGGATTTTGATGGCGTGGTACAAGTCTAACAACACCTTCCCTTCATATGCCGAGGTCAAGAATCACACGAACTTTACTTTACAGAGGATTCTTTACTTTTTACTTGAAGGGCCTCAGTTTATTCTAGTTTGTTAACGAGTGAGCTGTTAGCAATGTTACCCTGTGCAGAGTGCGGCGAGCACAAAGTGCAGAGTGCGGCGAGCAGAAAGTGCAGAGTGCGGCGAGCAGAAAGTGCAGTTAATTAAAAATAAAGTTGTTTAAAGTCCTCCTCTTGTGTGTAGGCCTATACTCCACATTTGTGTGTGTGTGTGTGTGTGTGTGTGAAGTATGAAAGTGGGGGGGGGGGGGGGCGGTTGGATGGAGGCGGTGTTTCTTTCATGTATCTCTTCGCACCCCCCCCCCCCCTCCTTCCTCTGAACAAAATAGATTGTGTATAGAAAATATATACGTTTACGGGTGTCCGCCCCCCCCCCCCCAAGGAAAAATAATGTTTAAAAATTAAATGGTTTACTATAAAAAGTATATCCTTCTAGTTTTTCGCGCTATCACTCAGTATCATAGGCCTACACAGTCCTTCATAGTTCATCTAGTGCACATTTATTTTTTGTGTTATTCTATTATGGTTTTAAAAGTACTTAAATTTTTAAAATAAAAAACTGTTTAATACCCAATCTATCTATGCACGAAAAAGAACGGAAACGAATAATTATCTTTATAATACAGAGGCGTAGCGACCCTTCCCAGCGCCCGGGGACAAACTTTGAATTTGGCGCCCCCCCCTACATATATTTTTTTATATTTATAATGCAAAACTGCAGCTAAAATGAGCTTTTAATTTTTTTTTCCAACCCATTTTGGCGCCCCCTAGGGTTGGCGCCTGGGGACATATGTACCCCCCCCCCCTTCGGTACGCCTCTAATTTTTTCTAAGATAGCCTACATAATTAGATCTGTATATTTAAAGAAAAACGTTTACTTTCTTCTTTTAGAACGTATTCTAAAGCGTGTCATTAATGACATTAAAATGCGTTGTGTTTATGTGTTTGTGTTCTACTGTTGTCTGTGCACGGCCAAGTGCGCATTATGATTACTGTTTACAGCTATAGCTAGCTAGGGCCTATTTAAACTATATAACATATAATATACTATTTGTTTAGATTAAAGTTGATTCTATATTCGTTACTATAGACACAATTTATAGCTATTAAATTAAAAGATATAAACTTGCACTTTTCATAAACAAAAGAAGAACCCACGCTAAACTAAAACGTTTATGGGATCATGTTATTAAATGATGATACTTATACAGAGGCTTAAGTAACTGAAAACGCATCTATAAAACTAAAACTGGTGTTAAGGTACAGATTTATGTTAACACGAGAATGGGAAAGAATGTCAGATTCTAGGATCTATTGCAAAAGTAGATTCAACAGATCATTTTAAATTTTTTATTAAAACTCGAAATCTATTTTTAAATAAAAACAACAATAACAATAACTGATAATTATCCGTGGAAAACAGCAATGGGAAGATTATTTTTAGGAAAGGAAAATCCTTGCGTCATATCCGGCGATGGCGAATGTCTTTGTTGATGAACAAGAAATATCCTGGTTGAGATTATTCATAGCCTACAACTGTTGTGTGGTCACTGAAGTAAACTTCGCTTTTATAACAATTTTTAAATAGCTTAGCGTTACTTTTAAAAATAATATGTAGACTATTATTTTATAAAGGGATCGTTAGATTTATAATTAACAATAAAAACTTAGATCTAGATTCTAGAGCAGATCTCTAGAAAGAAAATCACTATCAGGCCCTATCTTCTAGATCTAGCTAGGCCCTAGGCCTGAGAAGTTCTAGATTCTAAATCTATGCTAGATTCTAGAGAATTTAGATTAAGAAATGAAAATCTAGGTCTAAAACTAGAATCCAATTCAATTATTAGGCCTAATCCCTAATACTAATTATATTATTATTAGACCTAGGCCTATTGTTCTAGTTTTAGAATCTAGCTAAATGATTGATATTTGATACTGATAGACTAGATTCTAGATCTAATCTAGCTAATGTAGCTATAGCTAGAGAGTCTAGATTCTAGGCCTAACTAGTTAACTTGATTCTAGATCTATAAAATTAAAAACCGAAGCGGACGGACACTGGGGGACAGTCAGCTGAAAATACTTCAAAACAGGAATATAATATTATTGTAGGCATAGGCCTAAATACTAAATGGTAAAAATTCATATAAAACCTTGGCCTTGAGTGAATTTTGAATCTGGGGCTTGATGCATCCAAACCTGGTATTCCATGCTGCACCTAAGTTTACCAATTGTAACATTTATTGACTATTTTTAAACATGTCTAATAAAATCTCATAGATTTTCTCTTGTAGTCCTTTAAGTAGGCCTACCTTTTAAGCTTTTACATTACTAAACAGTGATCTAAAGGCTTATGTTTGTCCTTAGTTAAGTAAAGCTGTGATTTATTTTTATGGGATTGTGTTAAAGTTTTTATCATTTAAATCTTAAGCTATGCTGGTTCAATAATTGGGTCTTGTCAATATTTTTGTCGTTCTTTTTTTTTTCTTGTTCTTCTGTTATTGATTGTCTAGGGTGAGCAGAAAAGTACCATACCTTATAAGCTTATCTATTTAAACCATTTTCACAGATTATCCCAGCTTTAGTTTTCCGTTTGAAGTGATAAGTAGAACAGAATGTCAGGCGATATAAATCGCCAGTTAAGTCACATGTCAGAGGCATCATCAATAGGAAGCGATGGCAACTCCTCTGAAGACATGGATGAAGATATTGACCATAGCTACTATGACGACACATCAGATGATTTAGGTCTGGACTGTCCAAGTAAAACGGATGACCCTGAGTATTTTGAATATGAACCTCTTCAGCTGATTGACGCAGAGAGAATGCTGAATGAAGAAATTGAAGCCTTGTGTACAAGGCTGGAGGTTAGTTTTTTCTAGTTTGTTTACCATTCTGTCCCACTACTACATCTTATCTTATCAAGTATCAAAACTAGCAAAAATAGTTAACATGTTTCCTAGTGTTGCTGTATTTCATGTTTTAAGTTAATAACTTACTAGACCAAAATCTTTTGTTTGAAATTTTATTTAAAAGCACTTTAGGTTAGTAAGGATATAACTGTTAGTCTGACATTGGCAAGAATTTTTTTAAAGTGATTAACATCTCCCAAAATATAATAAAGTGAATTCATTTTGATATTTTGTTTTATCAATAAAGATACATAAGCCTTTTTATAATGTGCTTTATAATTGTAAGACTAAACGACTTAAGATTGAATAAAGATCAAAATTTTGTCTTCAAATTTTTTAACTGAAGTAGTTTCCATTTTCATAAGTCCAATGCTTTGTTTATACCTTTAACTTTTGTACTGTTCTAATTAGTTGGTTAAAACATGTAAACTAAATATTTTTATAGTAATCATGTTTTTATATTTAGGTTAATCCTTCAATGGCCAAAATGCTATTACTACGACACAATTGGAGTAAAGAAGAAATTATTGACAAGTGAGTTATTTATGGTGCTTACATTTACAATAGATTTTTATTTAATATTTTTAAGGCAGTTTTTTTAAATTAATACAAGTCTTGGTATGGTTTCCAAAACTAGAATCTTAATCTACATGTTCTTATTATTGTATTTCACATATTCGTGCTGTATTACTGTTTCACAAAAATGGGTATTTTTCAAAGGTGGGTAACAATTACTCTATTGCAGCTATCAACGCAATCCAACAGAATATTTAATTGAAAGCCACCTTGCCAGTAGAAGAAAGCATGTAAGCTGATGTTGTCTTGAATAATTACATTTTTAATTACTTTAATTTTTAGCGTTGCCACAAATTTTCACCCTTGTTTTTATGTGTATTACAGGACAATTTGATTGGCCAGCGCCCCATGTGTTCTGTCTGCTGTATAGAATACCCCCGGGACAGATTTTTCCGAGTTGCTTGTGGTCATAGTTTTTGTAGAGACTGCTGGGATATGCATTTTCAAATACAAATTCAAGATGGCATTACTACTGGTATGATTCATAGGATGGGCTGTGCTTGTCAGTTGGTGAAAGATGTTCTTGATGATAGTAGTTAAAATGTGTTGTGCATTATATGCTGTGCCAGATATTTTTAAAATTAGGGGACTTAAAAATTTTAAAATGTTAGTAACAGTAATTTCTTGAACTGATCAGTAGTAAACCGTGTTAAAATGTATTGTGTCTTACAATTACTTAAATATATGAATGGTGGTAGTAAACTATGTTAAAATTGTGTGTTACCATGGCATAAAGGTATGAATGGTGGGTATGAAGTTGTGTAAAAATATTTTCTATTCTAACTTTCAAGTTTCTTCCAGGTATTGAATGCATGGCAAAAGGTATGAATGGTGGGTATGAAGTTGTGTAAAAATATTTTCTATTCTAACTTTCAAGTTTCTTCCAGGTATTGAATGCATGGCAAAAGGTATGAATGGTGGGTATGAAGTTGTGTAAAAATATTTTCTATTCTAACTTTCAAGTTTCTTCCAGGTATTGAATGCATGGCAAAAGGTATGAATGGTGGGTATGAAGTTGTGTAAAAATATTTTCTATTCTAACTTTCAAGTTTCTTCCAGGTATTGAATGCATGGCAAAAGGTATGAATGGTGGGTATGAAGTTGTGTAAAAATATTTTCTATTCTAACTTTCAAGTTTCTTCCAGGTATTGAATGCATGGCTAAAGGTATGAATGGTGGGTATGAAGTTGTGTAAAAATATTTTCTATTCTAACTTTCAAGTTTCTTCCAGGTATTGAATGCATGGCAAAAGGTATGAATGGTGGGTATGAAGTTGTGTAAAAATATTTTCTATTCTAACTTTCAAGTTTCTTCCAGGTATTGAATGCATGGCAAAAGAATGCCTGGTTCTGGTAACAGAAGATTTTGTTTGTGAAATTCTAACTCAGCCCAAACTCAGAGACAAGTATTCCAAATTTTCTTTTAACGACCTCATTAAGGTTAGAAACCAATCAGAATTTTATAAATTCATTACTTAAATTATAAAAAGTTTTACCCACATTAATAGCATATAAATATAGCATTTATTAACGAATCTGATGATGAAATGTCTGATCAAATATATTTTTTACAGTCCCATCCCAACCTCAGATTTTGCCCAGGTATAGACTGCTCAGTAATCATCAAGGCTAAAGAACCTAAAGCAAAGAAAGTGGAATGTCAGTCATGCAAGGCTGCATTTTGGTAACTAGGCTAAACAGTTCTTTGACATCCTGATGCCAGTGATCGGTTTTTAAATGCTAGTGTAAAAAATATATAACAAAGTACATAAATAAAAATTTTAGCTTAAAAGCCTTAATTAGTGTTTATCATGTGATAAGCTCAGGCTAGCAGAAGAGAGCTAAATGTTAGTCCGGACAGATGGAGTTAACCTGGACCTTCCCTAGCTCAGACCTGTTTCCCTGGTTCAGACCTGTTTCCCTGACAGGCTCATGAAATCCTGTTACCTTACCTGACTTCTTCCAGTAGTTACCTTACAGATACCTGGTTTACTTATCTGATCCCTAGAAGAAAAGATTTTGCTGGTTGGAATACTACACTTAATTATGGTCTATGTGAAATAGAATATAGGTTTTAGCCCATAATTTTATTTTCTTTAATATAGAATGCTAGGTCCGTAAGGACTAAGTAGGATAAAATCTTTTTTTTTAATGCAGCTTCAAGTGTGGCATAGCCTACCATGCACCAACTGAATGTGATGTAATCAAGCGGTGGCTTACCAAATGTGAAGATGACTCTGAGACAGCTAATTACATCAGTGCCCACACTAAAGACGTAAGTCAACTTTGAAAAATCAGAAACATTTTTCAATTATCAATACCAAATTTGTACAGCAAAGTGGCAGATGAAATAGAATTCACCTGTTTCATTGACCTTGAAGGGGTAATGTGTTCAACATTATGAGCTCCCTTTACATTCCCTAAGTCAGGTACCCATCAGAGCTGGGTGAACTTGGGGGCGTCCTACACAGTGAAACCAATAAAATATTTTTTTTTCTTAAAAATTCATATTAAACAATTGTTTACCCTAAGTTTATTTATATTACTTTTTTTGGATATCTGACTTCTTTTGTTTATTGATAAGGCATACTTTTATGTATATTCATATTTCCATCCACAATTATGAAGTGATCACCTTTGTTTCAAGGAAGCTTGTTTATTGTGTAATGTCTTATTGTGTGAACACTGACTTTTCTATTTTTAGTGCCCCAAGTGCCATGTGTGTATAGAGAAAAATGGAGGCTGCAACCATATGGTAAGTTAGTTGTGGTTAATATTTCTAACAGCAGAATTCAGAGGTTTAATTTTATGTTCAAGGTACTAAATGTAAATGAAAGAACTAAGGGCTACTACACAATGTCTGCACTTTGTAGAGTTGAAATTGCATTGGTTGTTTCCCTTAAATTAAATTTTTATACAATGCATCAATACTAAACAAAATGTTTATAACTATTGTATTCTTGTCATTTAGCAATGTCCTGAATGCAAGCATGATTTCTGTTGGATGTGCTTAGGTGGTAAGTTGAGTTTTATTTGCATTGCTAACAGGTCTGCTATAGAATGAAAGACAGTTTTGAAAACATAGTTAATGTTTTGTCTGTTATAGAAATTCAAATACCACTTTAAATATATCGCTGGTAGAGAAATGGTGAGATTGTTATTACATTAAATGCGATACATTTGAAACGACAAGAGTTTAGTTTTTTTCTATATTGGAAGAAGCATGTTTTTGTACTCACTTCTTTAAAAATTAGAATGTTAATGCTGTAACCAAAATGTGCTACTCAACTCAAGGCACTTACTTTCAGACTGGAAAACCCATGGGAGTGAATATTATGAATGCAGTCGTTACAAAGAAAACCCAAACATAGCCAACGAATCAGTGCATGTCCAAGCGAGGGAAGCCTTAAAGAAATATCTCTTCTACTATGAGAGGGTGAGTTTGTCAACAAATCTCTCAGTCTTTTAGTTGCTTCATAAAATCATTGGGCTATACTCCTTCCTAATTAGGAGTGAACCAACTTAAACATTGGCTGTGATTTTATTAGCTTTTAAGGTTGTTGCAGGCTTAAGTTGATTACCTGTAAAAACCTACTCCAAAAAGCTTATAGTTTTTTATACAATTTAAATGAAATTTTAAGTAGATCTGAAATAAATTTTCTCTGTAATTTCCTGTACCGGAATACCAACCTATTTTAATTGTCTCAAAAATATTTTAAATGATGTATTTAAAAATCACCCATAAATCAAAGAAGCATTTTAGCTATTAGTGGTGGTTTAATTAGCATTAAAGAAGCATTTAGACTAGTCAGTCATGGTTATATAAATAATCAAATCAAAGAGGACCTTTTAAAGAGAATGTTACACTTACATTGAATGTTATGATCTAATGTGTCTGTTACTTGTACACAGTGGGAGAACCATGCCAAAAGTTTACAGTTAGAAGAAACAACAACAGCCAAAATCACAGCCCGCACTCATGAGAAGGTGATGAACAACCAGGGAACTTGGATTGATTGGCAGTATCTGCTGCGCGCTGCTGGACTTCTCAAAAAGGTTGTATAAATGAACCGGTTACTCACTGTCAGAATGTTGAGCAAATTAACCATTTACTTACTCACTGTCTGGGCAAAAATATGTTTTTATTAAAATTATTACACTTCAAAAGTATTTAAAAATATTCATGTACATTGAAAAAATAATTTTTTTTTACAGGAAATTAGTCTTAGTTACTTAGTTTATTATGTTTGAGTCTGATAATTTATAAATAATATATTTAACTACTATAAAACATAGAAAAATGTATAAAACAACATACTTTTTTCCTGTCATTTTAAAAGCTAAAAGAAAAAACAATTTAATTTAGTCACTGAAACTATCTTTTTTTATAACACTATGTAAGTTAATTATAAACAAAGCCCTATTAACAAGGAAAGGCATTTTAATTAGATTTAAATTTTTAAAACATTGTAGAAATTTAACTGCTAGTGACAGAAGAGAAAGAAAAAATGCTAATAAAACTTTCATAATTACTGTGTGTAAATAAACGCATTACACATTGTCTGCTGCATTAAATAGTAAATCATAAGAAAATCTCAGGCACATAGGACCGTAAATGGCTATTCTTATAAAATTCAGCAGGTTTTTTTTAAATTAAGTTTTTCTTATGAAGAGCTGAACTTGTAAAAAAGTTTGTCAGAAATTATCTTACAAAAAATTGCTTTAATAGATATTTAAATCAATATAAATTCTCCTCCACAGTGCCGATACACCCTCCAGTACACATACCCTTATGCCTATTACATGGAGAAAGGCCCAAGAAAAATCCTGGTAAGTACCAATGTACTTTTGGTATATTTTTGTTGTAAACACTTAGTATCATAATGTTTCAGCAGTCCTGAGTCCTTTAAGCTTCAACCATTTATTTTACTTGAAGCCTTGTGAGCTATAAAACTTTTTTTCTTACTTCAATTAAAATACTGGAAAAAATTTGAAGCAAATTTCCTTTCTGTGGTTTGCATTAAGCCATCAAATCTTAATTTGGTTAGTTGTATCATTTTTTTTTTTAATTCTTATCAAAATTTTCACTGGACTTATTGATAATTAGGATTTGCAAAATTTATAATAAATAATTAAAATGATCAAATGTTTCATTTAAATTTAATAATCAATGAAGTGATGAGTAGACAAGTTTTTTTCTAGATTTGTGCCCCTTTCCTTAGGATTAAAGGTGTATTTTGTAGTTTTGCACCTTTCCTTCAGTGAGTTATGATGCTAAGTTGACATACAGTTCCCTTAAAATCTCAAGTATGAGTTTTAAGATGAAAAGCACAGCTGTAAACTAACACATTCCCCCTAAAATTTCAGTTTGAGTACCAGCAGGCACAGTTAGAAGCTGAAGTAGAAAATCTATCCTGGAAAGTTGAAAGGGCAGAGATTACAGACAGAGGGGTAAACACTATCTTTATTTCACTACATCTTATAGATTCAGTTTTTTAAATATACATCTTGTTGTTATTTCACTACATCTTTTAGATTAAAAGATTTTTAATTATACATCTTGTTATTTCACTACATCATTTAGATTCAAAGATTTTAATTATACATCTTGTTGTTATTTCACTACATCTTTAAGATCCAGAAATTGTGTTTGACATCCAACTTAAATGGATCATTTGAGTTCATTTCCCTAACTTAGGGCAGGTACCCATCAGAGCTGGGTGGACTCGACGTATGACAATAGTGTGTAGTAGAGGAAATTTTCATCCCTAAATTTTCCTCTCCCCAGGTTTTAGAAAACCAGATGGATGTTGCTGAAAAGCGGAGACAGACGTTACTGAAAGAGTTTTTGGATGTACAGGGAGTTTAACCCACTCATGTCTGCCCTAGAAGATCCTGCAGCTTGTGAACAAGGAGTGTGTTGTTTAAATACCTTAGAAAGATGCAATTCCTGTTTACTGCAGTATTCTCCATTTAGCATCAAACATTCAAAATGGTCAATCCAAATAGTCATGGTTACACTGCCTAGTACACCACATGGTCAATTGTGTTGGCGCTGGTTAATTTAAATCTAACAAACCAGTTAGCGTATTTGTCATTTTGTTATCAATGGGATATATCTAAACTTTTTAGGATCATTTTGTGACTACTTAATTGATTGCTAAAAATATAACTCACTCTGCTGGTACATAAGCGGTAAATTCATTGATAATAAATGTATTTTTATGCGTAGAATAACCTATTCCACAGAAAATGAAATAATCATCTGTTTACTCTGCCTTACCTTGACTAGTATGTTTTTTTAAATTAATTCATTACAAGCTGTTGAGTTTTTAATGTTTGGTTCAAGTAGTTGCTAATTGGTTGGCGTACAGGCCGGTTGTGTTGAGAAGCCCACGTTCAGGTTGTGAGCTGACTCTAGAGATCCATGTACATGTTAGTTTGATGAATGGCTGCATGTTCCTTCAACTATATAACAAGACCCTTTCAGTAATGGATATGACTGGCGTATAAGAACTGCATGTGGAAAATGTGACATTGTTTACTACCATTAAAGGAGAGTTGTACATTTTTTTTACCTGACTCATACCCTGCAAAATCTCAAGTGTTTTATTTCTTGCTCATTTTTTATCGGCTGTTGATTTTGGTCTAAGTGGCATGTACATTTGAATGGCTGATAATGAAAGAGTAATTTATTTTTGCGTGTTTTTCTTTCATTTGTTTCAACTGGGTGATTCGTTTTCTCATCATATTCCATTTTTATTTTAAACTTAACAGTCCAAAGTGATCTATTTTCTGTATATTTGAATGGAGGTTTTAACTTATTGTGCTCTGCTTGGTTGAGCGATTGCTTTCAGGTTTACTTTTGGTTACTCATTAGATTCTGGATGATTGGCAATTTAAATTTCTTGTTGTTTTTCACATAAAAATATTTCAAAATTCTTTATTTGTACATAAGTAAACAAATTTTTTGTGAGTTGCAAGTCATGAGGCATTTGAAGTTACTATCTTTAGTTAACAACCTACTGCTCTTAATGTTAAAGATTGCAGAGATAATTATCAAGTTACTTTTTTAGCTTCAGAATTGTTTTTAATTTCACAATTGAGCTGAAAATCTCAGCGGATGATAATTTAAGTGAAACCATTGTTATATCAGTAAGAAAATACTCCAAACAAAACTTTCAAAACTGATTCTATCTTAAACTGTTCACTAGTTTACCAGCTTGAGAAAGAAATGGCACTTAACATTATCTGTGTCTGCTTAGAAATTACTTATTACAGGAAATAATAATTATATTTTGATTACTGATTCAAGAATAATTGTATTTTGAAAACCAGAACTTAACTTGTTGCTGTGTTAAGGATATCATAGGTTGTTGTCAGCAGAGCTGTGTAGTTTATTTCTGCCAGGCAGCATTAGCTCAGGATTCACACAGCATTTCATGTTTCACTTATGTTGAGACCATTTGTTAAAAACATGCTTTAGATTGCTTTTTTATGTAATTTTTTTTCCCCAAATGTAACTTGAAAATATAAAACAATGTGTAACAATAAATACATTTATTTACAATTTAAAAATTCACCAATTTTAATTATCCTGCATTAGAAACTAATTATATAGAAAATATAGCTGGTTCAATACAGTTTTAGACATGCTAAACTATTAGCTGGTAAGGCACCAAACTAATCTGCTTGCTTACAATGATTTTTTTTAGCTCTACCTTGCCACCTAAATGCTATAAATAGATTGTATGGTGTTGAAATTGTGGCAGATGTCAGTTTACAGTAGAGTGAAATTTAAATGTTTTTATTTTAACCAATGAGCCATTCATATTGATTGTATTGTCAATGTAAAATAAGATACAAATAAAAACCAAATCTTAAAGTGTGTGTTCATTTACTAAAATATACAATACATTCTGTCATTAAAAGACATTAAAAGAAGTTACAAATAAAATATTGGAAGAAGAGTTCACAAAAACCATTTACAAATAAACATGACTGATAAAAGCTTATGTAGCAATATTCCTAGATACATTTCAGTTTTATATGCTGCATTGTACAAGGCAGCATCCTGGTGGTTTATTTAAAAAACTAGTTTAAAACCAGATAAAATTAAACACATCCATCTTTAAACAAGATGATAGCTACTGCTAATTGAAAAGCAGATTGGTCTAAAATTCACTTATACGTTAAAAATGGCATGCCTAAATTTATTCATGGAACTTAATTTGTTGAGAATTTAATGTTGCTTCAACTTTTTTTTTCTAAATTAATTAACCAGCCTTTATTTCTTCAAGTGTATTGTTTCTGAATTAAAATTGAAGTTCATAACTTAAAACTAGAACCATTAGTGATGGATGTCCTGTTGTCACAGACAGTAAAATATTCACCACCTTGATTAATACTACATCGGTGATTACATGGCATTTCAAATACTGCCCTCATCAAGACAACAGTAATAAAATTCTAAAGGCTTGCATTTAGGTACATCAGGTAAAAGAATTAATTGCAGTTATCGTACATCATCCCCACTACTAGAATCAGAGTACTCTCCCAGCAGGCCTAGACCTAAGCTTACACTAGGCTTAACTTCACAATGTTGCTCTGTACTGACCACTTGATCAGGCTTGGTATCAGGCAGGGATAAATCCGCATTTATAGGGGTAGTGGTGGTATCTGTTGATGATGAAGCTGATCCACATGTTTCTGTCTTGACAGCAGACTTCCTCTTCACCAAGCCAGAGAGTGATGACTTGCTGGAAAAAGAGCCAACACTTCGCTCCCATGCTGGTTTCTTCTTATCCTCTTGCTTGATTTCAGCCTGGAAGGAACAACAACAGTAAATAAGTTATGAGAGAAAATATAAGAGGTTATGAAAAAAATGAAACTTCACTACATTTATAAGTCTTAACTACTCAACATGATACAGCTAAACTAACAAAATAGTACATATAGCTTAAAGCTAAACTAAACAACTTTTTAAAATATAGCTTACAGCTAGAAGGTCTGTTGGCTTGGCTGAAACAATCTGTTCCTGTCTTGCTTTCTTGGCCAGTAAATTTCTTTCTTCATCACTGTCATCTTCATCAATTCTTTTCACTATTTTGCTTGAGCTACCTTTTCTGAGTATTTCTCTGTCATACAAAAATAATTAAAAAAACTGGTTGCAGGTTTATAAAGTTATTAGAATATCAAATACACAATACTGTAACATTTTCTACACAAAATATATTAAGCTATTCACTTTTACTGATGTAGAAAATGAATTACATAAATTGAAAACAAAATATACCAGCTGTATAACAGAGAATAAACTAATATAAAAATAACAAGTTTAAGCACAGTTAATGATAAAAACAAAGCTCAGTAAATGAAGTTCAAGAAGAATTAGTATAGGCATATATAAGGTTAAGAAAAATCAGTAAGGCAAACATCTAGGTAGTTAGGGTCACTTACTGAACAAGCTTATCTTCTTCTTGTTCTTGCAGCTTTAGCAGTTGCTCCTCATAAGCCATATGCTGCTGGAGCATATTCTCATGGTCCACACGGGCATGTCTAGCATTCATTTCCCGCAGCTCCTCCAGCTGATCTATCTGTTCCATCTCATTCCGGCTGGCCTTGGTGCGGTTCTCCAACACCTGCAGACAGAGCAGAACTTGGTGTATACACGGGCAAGCTGTTTTATAATGGGGAGGGGGAGGGGGCATAGACTGCTAAATGAGAGACGGGGACTAGTGCCACTGCCAGTGGTGGCAGGAATTGTCGAACAGAAACTAATGTCTATCTGGTTGTTTGTCAATCATTCATTAAAAAACAACATGCATTGGGAGCTTGTTGAGTACACTCCAGTGAAGGTTTCTGTCATTTCCTAAATATCATCGATCAAGGTGAACCAGGACTTATCTTCTAAATCACGCTCAACTCTTATTATAAAACAATACACAGAATATTTATTTTCAATATACATCAGGGGGATTATAATATTAAAGAATTAAGTTTAGTTGTATAGAAACATTTCAAACGTATGTAACAGTAAGATTCTTGTAAAGTAAACACAGATATTGAAAAAAATCCCTGCTCTAAAAATGGTAATCTAATGTAAGGATTGGTGACCAGGGCAAGTCTTACTTTCATTGGATTTAGTTCATCTTCCTCTTTTTCTTTTCTTTCTTTCTCTGCCATTTGGTGTGCCATCTTTTCAGCTTCGAAAAGTCTAGTTGCCCCAGCTTCCAGAGCATAATCTGTGTTAGCCAGGTCTGTCTAATAAACAGTAATCATTATAAATGAATGAAAGGTTGTTTTTTTTTTAATTAGATAAAAAAATGTAAAACTTTGAAAAATATTATTTTTTTCATATTCAATGTTCTTTGCTAAGATAAAAACAACTAATAACAAATTTAAAAATGATCTAATCTTTAAATTTTATAAAATAGCTCTGCTCACTTTAAATGCAATTTCAGCCACACATCTTGGACATTTGATGTAAAACCTGAATATTCGCAAACCAAGATAATCTTCATCATCAACGTTTTCTTTTCTTGAATTGAATTTCTTGCCTTTGTAAATGTACTCACCACAAGTATTACACCTAAAGTAGAAAAAAATACATTGTCCATTAAATATTCTGATTCATGAATTCCTTTAGCAATAGCACATTCAAACAGTAAAGTAAGTTACTAAAAAATTCATTTTGAAATTTCCATTTGAATACCTTGTACCTCATATTAAAAGGCGCCATGATTCGGATGCTAAAAGTCCTATTCTTTGGCTGCTTAAGCTTGGGTATCTTTGATGGATCAAACTCCGGAGGATAGTATTTCTGTTAAAAGGACAAAAGGTTAGCATTGTTAGTGGGTATAAAAAATAACACAGGATGAGTTATAGTGGGCTTCAAAGAAGAAAGTCTGTAACAAAGTGGTCAGAGCAGCTTGATCCCTCAATTTAATCTGAATAGTCCTGTTTTGATTTAATTTTAATTTGATTAGATTAGGCCAAGGCCTTAGTTTAAGAAGTTAGTTCAATAAAGTTTAGTTAGTTTTATTTATATTTATATATTAGTTTATTAGTAGTCTCCCACTTCACTAGTAAAGTAGTAGGTCTACTAACTTACTAACTTATTAGTAAGTTATTAGTACTAGAATCTAAGTACTAAGTACTTGCCTAATCTAATAGTAATAATAGCCAGGCCTACTACTAATTATTAATTATTGGGTAATCTATCGTTTTGGGTACGTAAAACCGCCCGCGGCTATTTATGTACGAAAACGTAGAAGTGTATTGTCATATGTTTTTGTCAAATATTATAGATAAATGAATAATAAACCTAAATCAATGGCTAAATATATCGATATAGGCCAGAAATTAACTTTAAACAGCAGTGTCTGAGAGCAAGATTTGCTATATAAACAGCAGCCATTTGTAAAATAGAGTGGCTTCCCCTGAATCTTGCGTTATAAGCTTATAAAAATAAAACTTAAACAAGATGGGTGCTATAGTAAATGAGCATGGTTGCATCTGTTGGAAACATCGCTAGTCTTCATTTATAACAGAAAAGTTTTAATTCAATTGTTTAAAAACAGGTACATAAATGAAACAAGGTAACATGTTTGTATTTTAAAAAACATAAATCCTCCTCAACATGTGAAATAATTATTAAAATTTAAGGAGTCACCTGTTTTTCACATTACAAGTCGCGGGCGATTTTAGTCTAGTACGTACCCAAAACGATAGATTTAGAAAATTTAGATTACCACATCAGTGACAGAATCTAGATCTAGTAACTCTGAGAATTAAAGATAAACATTCTACAATTCTACAGTAAGTAAGAATTGTAGTTCCTACTATAAATCGCTACTTACGTTTAAAACTTTTCTTTCTGACATTTCTGTAAATTACGACAGGTAGAAAATAGAAAATTATTAGGAACACTTCACGTTTGTTGTCGAAACTTGACCCGGAAGCAAAAGTATAAGAGCTCTCTGTTGAAAAAAAAATGAAGAGTGATTTAATCACTGATTAGAAGCAGGCCTAACAGAAATGGGTTGTCCCACTTCTTTGTTATCCCATTTCTGGCCGTTCTCCTCTATTAATAAAGACGCATAGTTTTAGCAACTTTACAAATTAAGAACAAAATTACAAGTATAATGGACATTTCGACTCAGTATTCGTCACTTTGTGAAGTTACTGACATGGATTGTCTGAAATTCAGATCGATCATTGGGTTTATTGAAATATGAAGAATACATTAATGTACAAGTAGATCGACATGACATAGACATATCGTACGATGCCGGAAAGATCTAAATTTAGATTTCTAGATTATATTTTACTATCTAGCAGTGGCGTAGCGAGGTCGGGTGTCACCCGGTGCGGCACTTAATGGTGTCACCCCCCCCCCCCCCAGAGGCATAGAGACCCTTCCCAGGGACAAACTTTCAAATTTTCGATTTGCACCCCCCCCCTCAAACTTTCGATTTGCACCCCCCCCCCCTCAAGTTTTCGATTTGCACCCCCCCCTCAAACTTTCGATTTGCACCCCCCCTCGAGTTTTTCTCTATATTTTTTGCTATTTTTTGCCTTGGTGTCACCCCCCTAAATGGTGTCACCCGGTGCGGTCCGCACCCCCCGCCCCCCCTCGCTACGCCCCTGCTATCTAGTTACTGATCTTGAAAGCTGGGTACTAGACTAGATCTACTAAAGCTAAAAGGTGAAATATGTGTATACTTCCCTTGTCGACTAGGAAGTACCGTCTTCGACAGTCAATTGTACTAAGGCTGCTGGGGACGGTTGAATAGTTGACATCATTCGGATTCTGCGAGGACTTAATAGTTTAACGGCGTCGACAAAGTTGGGGGACATCGTAATATTGAATTCCGTATTGAGAGTTAATACACCTTTGAATTGGCCTTTCCTGATGCCTTCAGTGTTATCTTCTTGTATGCATCGAGGTATAATTATGCAGTCCCCAGGATTGGTCTCGTTTAAAGGTATACATGCAATCGAATGTGTTGATAATCTGTTAGGGCAGTGGTTCCCAACCCCGTGCCCGCGGGCGCCATGGCGCCACCGAACGATTCGTATGTGCCCGCCTCTCACTATTCGACAGAGACAGAATTATTTTCAGAAACATTATTGAAAGATTGAAGGGGATGGAAATCGAAAGTTTGAGGGGGGGGGGATGCGGGTGGAAATAAAAAATTTGAGGGGGGGGGTGCAAATCGAAAATTTGAGGGGGGGGGGGGGTGCAAATCGAAAGTTTTGTCCCCGGGTGACGGAAAAAGTCGCTACGCCTCTGGAAGGAGTTTGTCGATTTAAAATAGGTGGTGCCCGCCACCCTACCGATCTTTTAGAATGTGCTCTAGAGTAAAAAAAAAAAAAGGTTGGGAACCCCTGTGTTAGGGTGTCCTCATCTATTGCGTGAGCCTCAGAACGAATGTTTTAAGTTACACTCAAATTCGAGGGTGTTAACTGTTCACGCATACAACCATCTGGGCCCAGGTGAGTTTCTGTTTAGTTTAAAAAGGTATTACATCTTAGAGTGTGCTGAAAAACATTCAAGCATGCTCAGAATAACTCCACCAAAGCCTGTCCCAAGCCAGGTTGGAAGAGGAGGAGGGCTATTGAGCATGGGGGCCACGGCCACCCGTCTACATTGTACAGAACACCATAACACACCAACCCGGTGCCAGCACATTTCACAAGGATAACCCGGACCACTAGTCCCGACATCGTACAAGAACACCACAACACACCAACCCGGGGCTAGTAGTCCCACATTGTACAGAACACCACAACCAACCAACCAGGGGCCAACAGTCCCACATTGTACAGAACACCACAACCAACCAACCAGGGGCCAACAGTCCCACATTGTACAGAACGACACAACCAACCAACCCGGGGCTAGCAGTCCCACATTGTACAGAACACCACAACCAACCAACCCGGGGCCAGTAGTCCCACATTGTACAGAACACCACAACCAACCAACCCGGGGCTAGCAGTCCCACATTGTACAGAACACCACAACCAACCAACCCGGGGCCAGTAGTCCCACATTGTACAGAACACCACAACCAACCAACCAGGGGCTAGCAGTCCCACATTGTACAACCAACCAACCCGGGGCTAGCAGTCCCACGTTGTACAGAACACCACAACCAACCAACCCGGGGCCAGTAGTCCCACATTGTACAACCAACCAACCCGGGGCAATTGATTTTCAACACACTTCTAACGCAGCAATTTCATTTTACCTTTGAGATATATTATTATAAAGTTGTTTTTAATTAATATTTTACTTCTCATTTAAGGAGTACAGGAAGTAGTGCAATTGCGCAAAAAAAAAAAAGAAATCGAGATTTTCACAAATTTTATTTCACACCTTCAAAAGTAGGTAAACCCAGTTTTGCAATCTTGTCTGTCTCTCTACCAACCTTCTATCTCTATCTCTCCGTATGTGTGTGTTTGTGAGCACGGTAGCGTCAGTACTGTTTCAGTAAGGTGGGCAAAGATTTTTATTCTATTTATAGTTAGGTAAACACAATTGTATATACAAGTATTAGATTGTATCAACTTTTGAACAATTTCCGATAATCGGAAGTGATTCTTTGCTCTATTTTCGTGAGAACACCATAATTTGAAAATTGTTTTAGTTACTTAGACGAAATTTCATATATAATTAAAAGATCTTATATTTGGATCACTTTCAATTTTTGAGTGACTTCCAATATCCGGGAGTGGTACTTTACTTTATTTCTAGTTTTTAAAAATACTAAAATGCCAAATAACTTGAGTACTGTTTCAGTTAGCTAGATGAAACTTCATGCATATGATTATGTTCTCCGTTTCCATTTTCTTTAAAATTTTGAGTGATTTTTGGTAAATGAGTAGTACTTTAAGGGGGTAGGCTCCAGTAAAAAAAAACTTTTTTAATACTCGTTAGGAAACAATTGTTTCTCTATAGCTTTCTATAAGGCACAAATTGGTAGAAAAATCTTGATAACTATGACAACGGCGGCCATCTTGAAAAATTAATACCTTCGTAGATTTCCACCATTTATAAAAGCTCAAATCATAATCTTCTACCATATTTTGGGGTACTAAGCTAAACATTTTAAGTGCATGTCCTCAACCTAATTTATTATGAATTTTCAAATTGTGGGTCCGTTAAAAACATTGGTCTTAATGTCCTGAAATTCCCCCAAATTTTGTGTTTTTATATATCTAATACATTCAGACGATTCATTCACACTATATTCTGCTAAACTTTTCAAAAGAAAACAAATCCAGGATACACTTTATATAATACGAAATTACTTTAATTACCATTTATACAATATAACACATTGATTATTTTAACACAGTTTTGGGATTAACATTTCCCACAAATTAACCTGGTGTCATTCCCATTAGTCTGTTATACTTTTCATCCTGTTAATTTAGAAGCATTTTACCGCGAACAATGTATAAATAGAAGCCACTTTAGACCTAGTTATTAAAATAGAAACGTTATTATTTACAGCTTCCCACAATTAAAATTGTGAACCAAGTTGTAATCTACCCGAAATGCGTGTTTATTAATTTTGGACTATAGCCACGCCTGCTCCGAAAATCTGGCCACGTCCAAGCTCTGATACTATGGAGTTACATCCTGAGGCGTTACTCAGCACCCTAGGGGAGTGACACCCTTCGTTAGCTGAGGATCTCTGATTAAAATTGTAATCGACATTTTCCCATTCCGTTCCACTTTCACCGATACCATCGGGATGATATCCTTTGTGTACGTGAGTGGTCCAAGTATTTTCTTTCCCGACAAAATATACGGGCGCGCCACTGCTTCCTCCACATGTCTTGGCTGAGTACTTGTAATACGTGTAACGCCTATAGTTATTTATAGGTATCTCAACAGTCTCGACTCTATATCCAAATGTCACATGCTTATCATACCCGTGTGGGTGAGACACGATTATAAAAACCTTCTTTCTCTCACTAGGACCGTACATGTTCTTAGCCTGCTGGTCTAAGCTTCTGAAACTATAAATCTTACCAATAATGGCGTTAACCAAAGACATATCATGTGTTACACAAATCAATTCAGCTCTGTCATGTTCAACGTTGACAGAGTACAAGGAGTAGCCTTTGAGGGTTCCCTTGAAGTGACCAAAATGGTATTCACAAGTTGTTCCTGCCACTTCTTCATAGTTGTTTACGACGTGTGCTGCCGTTAAAATTTTTATCTCAGCCCATTCGTACACATAGTTACCGGTAGACAGACAATCAGGACATTGGCATTGACCTCTGAATTTCTTGGCGAAAATTATTCTCCCACTACCATTTATCTTAGAATTTCTAGGGTAGGGATCATCCGTCCCGGGGAAAACTTTGGGTCTTAGTGTATGTGTTACGACCGACAAACGCACCACTAAATCGGAAATGGCCCAAACCAAATTATACATTGTGTTATTTTGGTAATTTTCAGGCAAATAATCTCTTTTGAAAACAGACATGGGAATGAAATCTTTGTGCTTAGAATGTTTACGACACCCAGTAAAGTTGCTGAGATCTTGCTTGTCATTCGTCGCTGGGAAGCCTAATTGTAAGAAACAAACATTGAAAAAAGTATGATTCAGTTGTTAGCAATGTGGTAAAAATTTAATGACAATGTAATGGACCGCAGCAAGTGGCCAGATTTTCCTCACTCGACATACTGCAGTAAAATTGCGATCGAAGTCTCTCCGGTTAAAGTGTGTATTAGCCAACACTGCAATAATGATACTCAAAAACATATCTATTGTAGTGTTTTTAAATAGAGGCCCTGATTTTGTCATTGATAGCAAAGAAAGAAATAATTAAGCTAATCATTAAAATTGGCTTAATAAATCTTATTCTATTTCTTATACCTACACAACAGTTAATGTTTCAAGTTAACAGTTGACAATTTAAAAATCTAATTAGCTTCGCTGTTTTAATATTTGTAGGCTATTTATGAACAATGATAAAAATACTAAAAACAGTGAAAGACATGGATGGTAGTTTTATTTGAACTAGTGTGTGCTAAAACAATAAAAAAAGAACATATACATTTACCTTTCTTTTATACTGGAGAATTTCAGTAAGAGAATAATTCGAATTTTTAAAAATAAAAATATAACAAAATAATAGATAAAAATAATCTATAACCAGTAAAGCAAAAAAAAATAAATAATATAAAACTAAATAAAAATAAACAAATGCAAAAAATGAAAAGAAATAAAAACAACGCATTAACAAAAGTACTTGCCGCTGCTATGCTTGTTATAAAAAGAAAATTCAGTCATTGTAATTCGTATAGTTAGATAATATATATATATATATATATATATATATATATATATATATATATATATATATATATATATATATATATATATATATATATATATATATATATATTTATATATATGTATGTGTGTGTATGTATGTATACTTTTATATTCTATTATACAGTGAACTAAAAACAAGAACTAAAACGAGACTGTGTGTACTTACCGTCAGTAACATCGAATGTAAAATTTTCTCATTTTCGTTTTCTTGATTTGAGACATCCTTCATCTACAATACAACTTATAAAAATAAGGGTAAGGGTCGTCCATAAATGCTGGTTCCCCCTTCCCCCTCCCACTTCGACCACATTAGCTTTAGCCCTTCCCAACAGAGTTTCGTTTCTTTCAGGCATCTCTTCGAAAGGGCCGAAATTTCCAAGTTTCACCCCCCCCCCCTACCCCGGAGAAAAAAGTTTGAAAGAAACACTGCTTCCCACTCACCCAACACCAGCAAACTGGCTTTTTTCAAACTACTATTCGTTTGTTAAAACCATGAACCAAGTTTGACAATGTTAGGTACATAGCTAAAGTTGTATCCTACTTCACAACAATGTTAGGTACATAGCTAAAGTTGTATCCTACTTCACAACAATGTTAGGTACATAGCTAAAGTTGTTTCCTACTTCACAACAATGTTAGGTACATAGCTAAAGTTGTATCCTACTTGACAACAATGTTATGTAAATAGCTAAAGTTTTATCCTACTTGACAACAATGTTAGGTACATACCTAAAGTTGTATCCTACTTCACAATAATGTTAGGTACATAGCTAAAGCTGTATCCTACTTCACAATAATGTTAGGTACATAGCTAAAGCTGTATCCTACTTCACAACAATAAATTGAGCTAACCCGAAACGACCACAACATTCCCAGCATTCGGCGCCTTCAAAGTGACAGTTAACAATTACAGTTGGTCCCATATTCGCACTTTTGATTTTAGTTTTAAGCCACAAAATGTAAACAAAGATACTAACGAATTTAATAGATATTTGTAAATTTGACACACCTTTGCCTTGTTATTATTCAATGATTCAATGTAGGCGACCTTTTTAGGCTTGACGTCTGCATCATAGGGATTGTCATCCACGGCTGTTAGAGTAAGATAAGTTAAATCACTTTGAAATTTGTAGACCATACAAATACACGTACAAGTATTCATATTTTTTTTATTATAAAAAAAAAACAGTAGAATGACCAGCTTCATTGCTCAATGCACCTAATCTTGATTTGCTAAAATGTTAAGAGTTTAATAACCCTTAGATCTAGAGTAAAAATTTCCATTTTTTTATTTTTGTTTTAAATCTTAGACGCGAAGAGGGTGTGCATATCATCTGCCAAAAAGCGTAAAATTAAATAAAGAGCACCTAGTTAAACGAGGGATCCATGCTGATTTACATGTAAAGAACAATTCATGACTAACATCATCCTCTTCCATCTCGGCTAGACCGTAATCACACATGTAATAATTTCACTCGGCATGTTATGAAATAAAATTAAACAACCCAGTCTTACCTTTACGTTTGTGACTAGCACTTTTCCTTGTATTATAAAAATCATTTACGACTTGTGACGACATTTTTAATGTTTTTAAAACTTGTTTTGTTTGCAAGACACAAACACGTAGCTATCGATCAACCGCTAATCGACGATATGACTCCAATGAAGTAGAACTTTCTACACCTGCGGTTCTAGAAAATCTATATTTAGAAACAAGATTTCCATTTCGTTATTGGAAAATACCGAAATCGGAAATTCCACAAATGAATTATTAAACAGGTCGCACTCTCGAAATTTATTTTATTATTTTTTTTTTGTTTGTAAAAAATGATTTGCTTTCTGTAAGACTTTTGTTTTAAACTGAAGTATCTTTTGTTTATTAATAATTTAGGTAAAAGAGGTGGGTGTGGGGGGGGGGGGGCGATGTTTTCTTTAAGAAAATGAAACAAAAGATTTGTGGAAATTCCGCAAAACTGCGCGCATAAATATTGTTTTAAGTAGAATTTTTATTATTACTCCGACAAGGAGTATACAAACAATACATTCAAAAGCCATGAATCAACCACTTTATCTTTAAAATATAGCACAAAAATATTGGTGGTCTGGATTAAATAGCAACTCAAAGTTTGTATTTCAAAGGTGATTAGACCAAGATAAGACCAAACAGTCACAGCTATATAGCTACTCTTCTGGGATGGTAAAAAGTAAACAGAAATTTAGCTGCTAATCAATCTCATCGTGAAAAGTCTTGACTGTCCCATTAAAAATATTTTAAACATCATGTGTCGTGTAATTTTCGGATTTAACTATTTAACCTCTTCTACAAGCTTTTATTTAACTTGAATCCTCGTTCTTTTGTCGGTCTACCTATCCTTCACCACAACACTCCTACACTACAACACCCCTACACTACAGCACCCCTACACTACAACACCCCTACACTACAACACCCCTACACTACAACACCCCTACACTACAACACCCCTACACTACAACACCCCTACACTACAACACCCCTACAATACAACACCCTTACACTACAACACCCTTACACTCCAACACCCGCACACTACAACTACAACTACAGCACCCCTACACTAAAACACCCCTACACTCCAACACCCCTACACTACAACACCCCTACACTACAACACCCCCTACACTACAACACCCTTACACTACAACACCCTTACACTCCAACACCCGCACACTACAACTACAACTACAACACCCCTACACTAAAACACCCCTACACTAAAACACCCCTACACTCCAACACCCCTACACTACAACACCCCTACACTACAACACCCCTACACTACAACACCCTTACACTACAACACCCCTACACTACAACACCCCTACACTACAACACCCTTACACTACAACACCCTTACACTCCAACACCCGCACACTACAACTACAACTACAACACTCCTACACTAAAACACCCTACACTACAACACCCCTACACTACAACACCCCTACCCTACAACACCCCTACACTACAACACCCCTACACTAAAACACCCCTACACTACAACACCCCTACACTACAACACCCCTACACTACAACACCCCTACACTACAACATCCTACACTACAACACCCCTACACTACAACACCCCTACAATACAACACCCCTACACTACAACACCCCTACACTACAACACCCCTACACTACAACACCCCTACACTACAACACCTGCACACTACAACTACAACACCCTTACACTTCAACACCCCTACACTCCAACACCCCTACACTACAACACCCCTACACTACAACACCCCTACACTACAACACCCCTACACTACAACACCCTTACACTTCAACACCCTTACACTACAACTACAACACTCCTACACTACAACACCCCTACACTACAAGGTCGCGTTTGCTATTTTGTTAACATGTTTCCTTCTAGTTTGAAAAATAGCATAATACTTTATCTACACGCTGTATTCATTATCTTTTTTCTAATGCAAAGTTGGTAAAATGTCTCGTTTTTAGATACCAAAGTTAGATAATAAATAAAAAAGATAACAGTACAAAAAATATTAATTTGAGTAGCTTCCCTTAAACTTCTTGGTTTCAGGTTAAATTTGCTGATTTCTTTTTAAATCTGAAATGATAAATATTAATAAATTCCGCGACTAAGTATATTAAAAATGTGAGATGGTAGTCAAATTTTTTTTCCAGGCATCTCCATATAAATTGAATTTATATAGATAATATATACTTTTAACAGTGTCCTCCCCCAGAAAATTTTAGTCCGACCCCCTCCGTCCCGAAAATTTCAAGTGCCCCCCCCCCCCCCCCCCCCTGGAGAAAAAAGTCTGTAAGAAACAATGATGGGTGTTCATATCACGAGCCTATTTTAAACTTTGCACCGGCGGACTTTTAAAGGTGTTATGGTGTCATTAAAAAATAAGAATCAAAGTGTTTATATTTTATAATTTACTCTGTAACCGCTTGTCAAATATTTCATAACTAGTACGCATGTACAATATTTTATTTAAAAAAATTATAATAACCTTTGTGTGTGTGTGTGTGTGTGTGTTGTGCGAGAGGATGACGTGATGATTCATTATATCGTCACAGAAATGTGCACTTATATATTATGCTTAGGGGATCGATCAAATTAACGAGACTGACATGATACTAGCGGAATCAATAATAACTTAAACTAGCAAAACTGGCGTCATCATGTTGTGGTTTTTCATTTACTATTAGTAAAACATTTAAAATATAAGTCTTAAAACAATGAAGGGACATAACCGATGAATAGTGACCGTGGTCACGCTAATATTTAAAATTGAGCGGCCCGATAACCACAAGTTAAATTCAAGATTTACTACCGCCAAGTGGAGACTTTAAAAAGTTGCACACAACTCTTTTACTGTTGTCAATTTTATGTTGCAAGTAACTTGTTCCAAGTCGTTACTTTTATTGCATTCAACTTGTCCTCTATCACCACTCGCAGTATGAGTGTCCTCAGCCCCATACCATTAACAATCAAATAACTGCACTACAGAGAAACCAGCGAAACATCAAGGCATTCAACTGCACGTTATGGCTATGAAATATCTGTATAAAATCGCCCTAGTGGCTCGGCTATACACTAGTCATAATGAAAAGGGTGCTCGTATTCTTTATGGCCATCACTGGAACGACCCAGTTTTTTTTCCCTCTTTGATAAAGATGACATGACAGGGGAGGGGGGGGTGTGGAGTAATAAAGGAACCGGTTAGAGGAATTTTCATGCATGAAAAACTTGTAGAACCCGACCTAACAGCATCATCGGCCATATTTTTTAGGCTTACATAACGATACATCGTTAATAATTTAAGTTGATAGTTTTTAAATCTCTTATTGCTTTGATTGTTCCTGAGCTTAACTTTAAGCTAAGCCCACGTTTGCGTTATTTTTGTATAAATTAATGCTTATTTGCTTAATAACCCATACACGGATAGAATCCGTTTAGGAATCGGTCTAAAGCCAGAACAGGATTCATAGAAATACTATTTTACGTTGCAATAAAAGCGGGTAGGGGTGGGATTCGAAAATGTCGCATAGTTTATATCAAAAGAATGGCGGGTGGGGGATAAATTATTGCCCTTGGTTTATGAAAAGGGTGCAGTCATAACTCTATAGTGAACCACTTAACGTATATGGCGCTTCTTTACTGGGCGTTACTGGGTCGTGACTATAGAAAAAATAAACCAGTCCAATTAGTTGTTACGACTTCCGGGTCAGTCATGAATGGACACTTCCTGGTTAACAGTTGGGTTACAAGGTCAAAGTTGTGGTCAACTTTAGTTTGGATGACGTTGTGGTCAACTTTAAATTGGGTGACGTTGTGGTCAATTTTTATCTTTGGTAACGTTGTGGTCAATTTTTATCTTTGGTGACGTTGTGGTCAATTTTTATCTTTGGTGACGTCGTAGTCAATTTTTATCTTGGGTGATGTTGTGGTCAACTTTAGTTTGGGTGACGTTGTGGTCAACTTTAGTTTGGGTGACGTGTTGACAACTTTAGTTTGGGTGAAGTGTAGTCAACTTTAGTTTGAGTGCCTTTTTGTCAACATTTTCGGGAACTCCCCTGTTCAAATGTTAGTTAACAGCAGCTTTAGCCCCTAAAACCTCAGAAGTTGGAACCATCTAGCCAAGCTATGTTTGGGAATACCAACACTGAACATTGTACATGTTGTCCGTTTATGGTGCATGAGAATACCAACACCGAACATTGTAGAATTGTCCCATGTTGTGCAAGGCCCACTTTAATTTGACGCTCGTGTATCTTTGCGTCCTCCCCACATAACAGGCCTGTTTCACGGTAGCTGCACAAAGTTCCCTTTGTAGTCCGCTTGTGTTCCACCCTGCCCTCTAACAGCTTATCGCGGGGCATTCATTGAAATCAGGAGCACAATTAAATCTGAATGAGTTACTGCGAAACATTTTAATATATGTGGCGTTTTTGAAATAAAACAAGTTTCTTACTTCACGTCCAAGTTCTTTAAAAAGGGCGGGGTTCTTATTTAGTAGGTGAAACTAAACACCATAAAAGTACCGTCGTATTTTTTTTCTCAAAGAGCTTGAAAGATTTTTAAAATTTCAGACCAAGGGAGAGAACCGCATTTGTCTTCTTCCCCTTGCGAGGACTCGCTTTGGTTAAAGTTTTAGTGGGGCGCGGAACTGTTGAATATTCAAACACTGAAATAATTTAATATACCGATGCACCGCAAGTCTGGAGACAGTATTGCTTGAAGGAAATATTTACTATTTAGAAAAACTCATTTTCCGAGGTATTTTAACTGCGAGCATCGATAATTTTAAACATATTTCCCGTTTGCAAACATTTAACCTCGAAAATTTGGATGAATTAAAATTTTTCGACAATGGTACCTTTGTAGCTGTACTTCAGTTTAAAGTTAGATAAAGGCGTTGGTGTAAATTAGCAAAGACGTTTCGTGGACAATTGACCATGTGGGTCCTAGGACTGCTGCTGTTGGTGGTGACATGTGCTCAAGGTAAGATGGCCAGCATTTTTTAAATTAAAGACATAATTATGTACTCGCCTTTAACTGATTTGGCTTTCAATAGAATATCTGGCATAATATTGTATGCACTTGATTAAATCTGCCACTATTCAACTAAATCACCAACTAATTCTTAATCTTCTTTGCTTGTGTCTGTGTACTGTTAAACTCAGCTATTCCTATAATCCCGTTCTAAAGTTGGTGTAATGACCGTTTTCTGATATTCTTTGTTGATAAGAAGTAAAAGGAGTAATGATACCACAGCAAAAAATTGATAATGACGAGATTTATTGTGTGTAATATTTGCGTGATGTTCTTATAGACTTCTATACATGACGTTACTTTCTTAGGGGAGTGTAGGAGGAGAATGTTCAAACTTTTGTGACGATGTGTTGCGATGGGCAGGGGGTGAAGAGTGTGACGATGTGTGACGATGGGCAGGGGGTGAAGAGTGTGACGATGTGTGACGATGGGCAGGGGGTGAAGAGTGTGACGATGTGTGACAATGGGCAGGGGGGGGTGAAGAATGTGACGCTTTGTGACGATGGGCAGGGGGTGAAGAATGTGACGTTTTGTGACGATAAGCAGGGGTGAAGAGTGTGACGCTTTGTGACGATGGGCAGAGGGTGAAGAATGTGATGCTTTGTGACGATGAGCAGGGGTGAAGAGTGTGACGCTTTGTGACGATGGGCAGGGGGTGAAGAATGTGACGCTTTGTGACTATGGGCAGGGGGGTGAAGATTGTGACGCTTTGTGACGATGGGCACGGGGGTGAAGAATGTGACGCTTTGTGACGATGGGCGGGGGGAGGCGTGAAGAATGTGACGCTTTGTGACGATGGGCAGAGGGTGAAGAATATGACGCTTTGTGACGATGGGCAGGGGGGTGAAGATTGTGACGCTTTGTGACGATGGGCAGAGGGTGAAGAGTGTGACAATGTGTGATGATGGGCGGGGGGTGAAGAGTGTTAGCATGAAAAAACTCGATTCATGATTGATCTTTGGAGAATATGTTCAGTATTAGGACTTTATTATACATAATTTTTTTATGAATGCGTTCGTTTCTAAACACATTAAAAAAGTGTTCGGTATTCCTATAAAAATAAATAAATAAGTGAACGAGTCATTAGATTAACTTCTTGATAGAAATTAGATAAGTTTTATTTTTTTTTTTTTATTCAGTTATATCTTTTAAAAATATTTTAAAAAATAACTAAACAATGGACATAAGGTTTAATTTTCTGAAGCTCTGCCGATTAGAAAGTCGGGTTTCTAAGAGGGAAAGGAAAAAAAAAAAAAAAAAGAAAGAAAAAAAAAGAAAGAAAAAAATGTGTAGAGGGAAAGTTAGCTCATATTTTAGTGAATTATTTCTTTATTCTAAATGACTCAATTAGGATTGATGTTAAAAATAATAAGTATAAAAATACATAAATAGTATTATATCACGTGAAGATGATATATTAAAAATGTAATCATTAAATTATTAAGTAGAAAAAAAAACTGCTAATTTTACAAGACAATCTTCACATACTAACAGATGAAGATGTGCAGGACGGCTTTAAAAATTGAAAATCATCATCATCATCATCATCATCATCATCATCATCATCATCATCATCGTCATCATTATTATCATCATTATCATCATCAATCACTGCCCGTCCCCCCAGCTGGGGTATGGGCCGCCAACCAAAGATCTCCAGAGTCCTCTGTCCTGCTGGGGTATGGGCCGCCAACCAAAGATCTCCAGAGTCCTCTGTCCTGCTGGGGTATGGGCCGCCAACCAAAGATCTCCAGAGTCCTCTGTCATGCTGGGGTATGGGCCGCCAACCAAAGATCTCCAGAGTCCTCTGTCCTGCTGGGGTATGGGCCGCCAACCAAAGATCTCTAGTCCTCTGTCCTGCTGGGGTATGGGCCGCCAACCAAAGATCTCTAGTCCTCTGTCCTGCTGGGGTAAGGGCCGCCAACCAAAGATCTCTAGAGTCTTGGTAGTAAGTTTTGGTTAAGTTTTGTCTAGTTATGTGAGCTTTGGTGCTGTTTTATCAAGTTATGTAAGCTTTGGTGCAGTTTTATCTAGTTATGTAAGATTTGGTATAGTTTTATCTAGTTATGTAAGATTTGGTGCAGTTTTATCTAGTTACGTAAGATTTGGTGCAGTTTTATCTAGCTATGTGAGCTTTGGTGCTGTTTTATCTAGTTATGTGACATTTGGTGCAGTTTTATCTAGTTACGTAAGATTTGGTGCAGTTTTATCTAGTTATGTGAGCTTTGGTGCTGTTTTATCTAGTTATGTGACATTTGGTGCAGTTTTATCTAGTTATGTAAGATTTGGTGCAGTTTTATCTAGTTATGTAAGATTTGGTGCAGTTTTATCTAGTTACGTAAGATTTGGTGCAGTTTTATCTAGCTATGTGAGCTTTGGTGCTGTTTTATCTAGTTATGTGACATTTGGTGCAGTTTTATCTAGTTACGTAAGATTTGGTGCAGTTTTATCTAGTTATGTGAGCTTTGGTGCTGTTTTATCTAGTTATGTGACATTTGGTGCAGTTTTATCTAGTTATGTAAGATTTGGTGCAGTTTTATCTAGTTATGTAAGATTTGGTGCAGTTTTATCTAGTTAAGTAAGATTTGGTGCAGTTTTATCTAGTTATGTAAGATTTGGTGCAGTTTTATCTAGTTATGTAAGATTTGGTGCAGTTTTATCTAGTTATGTAAGATTTGGTGCAGTTTTATCTAGTTATGTAAGTTTTGGTTAAGTTTTATCTAGTTATGTGAGCTTTGGTGCTGTTTTATCTAGTTATGTAAGATTTGGTGCAGTTTTATCTAGTTATGTGACATTTGGTGCAGTCTTATCTAGTTATGTAAGTTAAAGTTCTAATTCTCTACCTTCTATCAAATTTTGAGTAATTTCCGTTGACCGGAAGTACTAATTTTCGCTATTTCCGATTTCTCAAAAAACGCATGTAAATTTATAAAGAACTAATAATATTGCGCACTATTATGCGCTTTTTGCTTTGGCGTTCACTTGGTGCGCAATTCTTTTTTCTACTAGATTTTATTCTATTTTTAAAAGTTTAAGTAAACAAAAATCATGTCTATATTCCGAGTTGCCATCCCACGTAGTGTTATATTAGAATATTCGAGAAAGTTTAGGGGAGATCACTCCCGGTTTATTTTGTTTTATCGTTAAGTTTTTGTACTTGAACTCCTAACCATTGCTCAATAACCATAACTCTACCAACAATCCTAACAGAGAACTCCAGATCAGCCAACACCCAAAAATACCACGCAGATTATGGCACATGTTACTTTTAAACTTAAAACGCATTAAGAAAAAATTCTGTCACGTTTGGCATTCACTTTCACAACGGTAGACGCGTCACTAAAACCGGTTCAAAAGACGACGGAAAAACGGCTTGACAAAGCTCCGAAACAATTATTGGAGAGTTTTCTTTTGGTCGCATATCTGTCGGGTGGAGACTGAAATCTTTTGTCGTGGGTGGGTGGTGTTAGATTAGATTTTTTCTGTGGGACACAGATGGTATCTTCTAAACTGTGATTGTAGTACAGTGGTGGTGTCGTGTTGGTGATTGTAATACATTGGTGGTGTCATGTTGGTGATTAGAGTACATTGGTGGTGTCGTGTTGGTGATTGTAATACAGTGGTGGTGTCGTGTTGGTGATTGTAGTACAGTGGTGGTGTCATGTTGGTGATTGTAGTACAGTGGTGGTGTCGTGTTGGTGATTGTAGTACATTTGTGGTGTCGTGTTGGTGATTGTAATACATTGGTGGTGTCATGTTGGTGATTAGAGTACATTGGTGGTGTCGTGTTGGTGATTGTAGTACAGTGGTGGTGTCGTGTTGGTGATTGTAGTACAGTGGTGGTGTCGTGTTGGTGATTGTAGTACAGTGGTGGTGTCATGTTGGTGATTGTAGTACAGTGATGGTGTCATGTTGGTGGTTGATTGAAGTACAGTGGTGGTGTCGTGTTGGTGATTGTAGTACAGTGGTGGTGTTATGTTGGTGATTGTAGTACATTTGTGGTGTCGTGTTGGTGATTGTAGTACAGCGGTGGTGTCGTGTTGGTGATTGTAGTACAGTGGTGGTGTTATGTTGGTGATTGTACTACAGTGGTGGTGTCGTGTTGGTGATTGTAGTACATTTGTGGTGTCGTGTTGGTGATTGTAGTACATTGGTGGTGTCGTGTTGGTGATTGTAGTACAGTGGTGGTGTCGTGTTGGTGATTGTAATACATTGGTGGTGTCATGTTGGTGATTAGAGTACATTGGTGGTGTCGTGTTGGTGATTGTAATACAGTGGTGGTGTCGTGTTGGTGATTGTAGTACAGTGGTGGTGTCATGTTGGTGATTGTAGTACAGTGGTGGTGTCGTGTTGGTGATTGTAGTACATTTGTGGTGTCGTGTTGGTGATTGTAATACATTGGTGGTGTCATGTTGGTGATTAGAGTACATTGGTGGTGTCGTGTTGGTGATTGTAGTACAGTGGTGGTGTCGTGTTGGTGATTGTAGTACAGTGGTGGTGTCGTGTTGGTGATTGTAGTACAGTGGTGGTGTCATGTTGGTGATTGTAGTACAGTGATGGTGTCATGTTGGTGGTTGATTGAAGTACAGTGGTGGTGTCGTGTTGGTGATTGTAGTACAGTGGTGGTGTTATGTTGGTGATTGTAGTACATTTGTGGTGTCGTGTTGGTGATTGTAGTACAGCGGTGGTGTCGTGTTGGTGATTGTAGTACAGTGGTGGTGTTATGTTGGTGATTGTACTACAGTGGTGGTGTCGTGTTGGTGATTGTAGTACATTTGTGGTGTCGTGTTGGTGATTGTAGTACAGTGGTGGTGTCGTGTTGGTGATTGTAGTACAGTGGTGGTGTCGTTTTGGTGATTGTAGTACATTGGTGATGTCGTGTTGGTGATTGTAGTACAGTGGTGGTGTCATGTTGGTGATTGTAGTACATTGGTGGTGTGTTTGTAATT